CCCCTTTAAAGAGCTTCAAAAAAAATTCCCTATTTTCAGAAATTCTTACTTAATCACGAAAAATTTGAAAATAAGACCGAGAGAACGAAGATTAAATAAATAAATACGATTTAATTCTAAATCTAACGTATAAGATTATTAATGACGTTCAACGAATCCAATACGAGCCTGACACGACCCCAGACGCGAACCCAAATACGAGCCACACACGAACCCGAATACGAGCCTAGACAGGAACAAAACACGAATGAGATACGAACCCGGACGCCAAACAGGCACGAACCAGATACGACGAACACGAACCAGACACGGAACCCACACACTAACCAGACACGAACCGGAAACGAACCCAGACACGAACCCGGACACGAACCGGACACGCACCGGACCCTAACCCGACACGAACCCCGACATTAACCAGACACGCACCAGACACGAACCCGACACGAACCCAGACACGAACCCGGACACGAACCGGACATGCACCGGACACGAACCCAGACACAAACCAGAACCCGACACGAACCCAACATGAACGCGGACATGAACCGGACACGAACCAGGACACGAACCAGATGTCCCCCTAAAGGTATCAAAATTTCGAAGATCTTAATTCATACCGCTAGAGATCACGTAAGGCTAGCATTGGGAGAGAAGCGCTCGCGACACTAAAATTTCCAGGATTTTAGACACGCGAGACAAGGATGCAAGACGCTTTCACGAAGAAATGCGGAAAAGTACCAAGTTACAGGGCGGCAGGGGTGCGCACAGAATCACGGACGCAAGCAGCACGACACCGCTTTACTAGAGAATAACTGATCGTATGTTTAGCAGATTGTTGGAGTCATGTAACATATCAAGCAATGATTATTCTAGTTCCACAAATGATATCAAGCCAGAAATTCGTGTCTTATAAAAGTAATTTTTCTCATTTCAAGAGTTCGGGACTTCCATGGATAATTCATAAGTCTTGGACCAATACCGAACACGTCTTCAGTTCAGGCTCGACGAGCAATCCTTCGGCTTTGTTAGGGGGTCACATAAGGCGTTCATCGCCTCGACAACCTTTGAGAAATCCGGCAGTTTGGCATCAAACAACCGTATCGTTTGGAACTTTGGGCGCAACAACTATTGCGTCTGCCACTGGTCAGATTTGTATGGACAATGTTGACGGGACCTCATACGGAGTATTGAAGATTATGGTACCGCTCAACTAAAGTACTGGTAGTATCATGAAACCCGTCCACATGCTTTGTCTCCGCATAGGCGATTCTGCACAAGTTATCATGAACAGCATCCATCGGTGCGCACGATCGACAGACGACTTTGGCCGGTCCTTCGCATCGCACGGCATTTTGCTACCTATGCACAGAAATTCGACAGCCCTGATTCGGAAATCTCGCAGAAAAAGATGCACAGAGGCAGGTTGCACTGCAAGCGCCGCTGGCAAAGGCAAGATTTTAGGGATCTTGTGCCTACTGAAGGACAACAGGGAAGTGCATGACTTTTGTCATGCTTCCTTAAAACATGTTCGCCTCTCAATTCATTCCAAGTCTAGATCATCAAAGCCTTGCAAACAGCTATTTCTGTGTAGCTGCAGCCTTGTCCGATAAGCTCTGAGATAACCTTTCTGTATCACAGTGACTCTCGACTGCATTTGTACGGAGTAGAGTAGCCTCGCGGAAGACGGCCAGAATGCGGAAGAAATCCCTAGTTGTCGAATCCATTCTGTGCTGAACTAACTGCATCCGCCGAATCCGCTTTCATTGTTCGTATACAGCAACCGGAAAACGTGTCTAGAGGGCCTTTCTGTGCATGCATAAGGCGCCGACCGTGGCGAAAGCCCCTGCGCGGCTGCGGGCCATTGGTTGCATGGCTCGCCTGAGCTTTCTCCGCTAAAGCCTTTCGGCTTATGGACATGTCTTAATCTTAATAGAGACTCCATCAAAGCAAATTCTGCATTCAAACGCTCTTCTGCGACTTCGCGAATCGAAGGCTGCCAAGACCAGCAAGTAGAGCTTTGTTATTTGTTGTCGTCTCTCAGATGCTGGCCATATGTGCTCCACGGGATCGAGGACTTCTACAGTGTTCAACACCTGGAGCCCAGAAAGAGGCAGATTTATGGAAATGACTAGACTAGACGGCTGGCTGATCACTGGTTCAGTGACTGCAACAAATCACGAGTACTGCCTGGCTTCCATCGTTTCCTCCACACACCAGCAGACATCGGGCCAGCACCTCAAGTTTCTACGCAGTCAGTGAGCATGTGGCGCACAGCCAAACTAATCCGAAACTTGCAAAGTCACTGATTGGACAACAAGCGATGATTGCGCCCACACGGTTCAGTCTCCTTGCATGATAACCCACGTCACCGTTCAGTCTCCTTGCATGATAACCCACGTCAGAACGACCTCACCACAGGACTTCATCATTTGTGCCGGCGCGCAGTTGCAGTGGCGCCGGAGCGGCGCTGCAGCATTGGGGCGGCTTCCTGCCAGATCATTCTACTTCGTCGAGATCGCAGGAAGACATCCACACCGAATCCCGACGTTAGGGTATCTACAAATGTGGGTGAAACAAATGCACTCCGAAGTCCAGTGATGAGCACTTCTCAAGGCCTGCCACTTGCCAAGCTCGGAATCGTAAAACTCTGCCGTCTGGTGTACCCCATGCTCATCATGACCTGAGACACAAGCTTGTGGCTGGGAATGCTCCTCGCGTCTTACTGTTTGCTGTAATCCTCGGTGTGGGATGCCGGAGACTCTCGTAAAAGAACACGATGGCAGACGGCAAGTCTGATTCTTACGCTCGCGGCCTCCGACGAGGAAGAGCTGCCCCGCCAAGACGGCGGAGGCTGCCCCGGTCCGACGCCTGCCCGAACTGTCCCGTCCCAACATGGTCTGCCTTCAGCGTCTCCCCCCCATGGCCCGGTTGGGCACTGGATGGTGCGTACCACACTAGCATCTAGAATCTAGAGGATTCCAGTATCCAGATCTGTGCAGCAGGGCCTCAGCATCGGCTGTAGACACTCCCAGACCTCGCAGAACTTACGCCACTATGGACGATGATGTGATTAAAACTGTGCAGCTATATCTCACCGCCAGAGTTGAATTGAGCAGATGTTACCTAGCTCTATAGCTATGTAAGAGTCCGGCACATGCCACGGGATCAAACCTCTCTGTGGACAGCAACGCCTTGCAGGAAGTGGCAATGCAAAGAATACAGCTCAGGGTTTGGAAGCCTGCTGCCCATCATTGCCCGAGCAGACCTGAGCTGCTTGAGCATCAGCGCAGTCACGAATAGATTTGTTGTTGAGATCACCACCAGCAGCGAGTCGTTGAGCACTGCAGATGTAGCCCAAAATCTTGGCTGCGACATGGGCGGCAGAGCCTGCGCAACGACAGACTCCCTTTGAGGCAAGTAAGGGTCGCATGCTCTTTGCTCGCCTGCCAGCACAGTCCTCAGATTTCAGCAGAACTTGCATCGGAAAGCTGCAGACTGGAAAGGAGCTATCGGTTCAAATCATGTAGAATAAGCCTAGCCGGATTCTTGCTCGGACCTCATGCCTGATAGGAGTGTCATCCCATACGCTTAGTCATACTCACCGCTCCAGTTCCAGGCAGTCTTTCCAAATCAGGTCCAAGAGTCCGAATCCGTTTTCGCTTTCGACCAGCCTTTCCATGGCACTGAGAGCCTGCAATGCTCCCTCACGCCAACTCCCTCAAAATACAGACCTGCCGTTCCGGCTCTTCTATCAGCATCACTACATACAAAAAAGTGTGTGTGTGTGTGTGTGTGTGTGTGTGTGTGTGTGTGTGTGTGTGTGTGTGTGTGTGTGTGTGTGTGTGTGTGTGTGTGTGTGTGTGTGTATATGTACACCTACATATATATACACACATACAAACATACATACATACATACACATGCACATACACATACACATATAGATATACCGCTACATATACATAGACATAGACATAGACATAGACGTGTATATATATATATATATATATATATGTATATGTATATGTATACGTATACGTATATGTATATGTATATGTATATGTATATGTATATGTTTATGTATGTATATATATATATATATATATATGTATATGTATATGTATCTGTATCTGTATATGTATATGTATATGTATATGTATATGTATATGCATGTGTATGTGTGTGTGTATGTGTATGTGTATGCGTATGTGTATGTGTATATGTATATGTATATGTATATGTTCATGTATATGTATATGTATATGTATATGTATATGTATATGTATACGTATACGTATATGTATATGTATATGTATGTGTATGTGTATGTGTATGTGTATGTGTATGTGTATGTGTATGTGTATGTGTATGTGTGTATATATATATATATAAATACATGTGTGTATATATATATATATATATGTATATCCCCTACCCTCCAGCCTCCTGGCCGTCTGAGCCACCCACGACATGCACGGCACCCCGAAGCCAGGCCGCAGTTCCGGCCATGCGTCTTTGAGGCCTCTCGGCCGAGTGGGACAACAAGAGCTCCTACCGACAATGGGCTTAGGCTAAAGTAAAAGCCAGAAAGTTGGAATATGATTATCCTAAGCCCTTCATGGTAAATTATAGGGTATCCTACCATGAAACCATATTCCAACTTTCTGGAGTTCCCTGTAAGGGCTTTGGAGTTTAGGCTTTATGGGTTTGTGGGATAATTTGAGTGTGTCCATGATTCGCGAGCAACCCGGCTAAGGCGATTGCTGAGGAACCGACAGTTCTGGCAATGCCTCCCAAACCTGCACTTGCAAAGGAACTTCGAGGAGGACTCGCGGTATTCAAAAGGACCCTCGCCATAACTCCCGAGTACGGTTTGGGCATCTTGGCTGGTCAGGTCGAGAGGGCAACTTCGAGTCGGACATTGCCATTTGGCACTTACACTGGCAAGCCAAGGACCCAAACATGCAACAACGACAAAGGCTGAAGGTGTGCCTCTCGATCCGGATCGAATCGTTCAACTGCACTCAGGGACCTTGGCTAGCATTGCGCGGTTATTTGGGGCGGGCAGCAGGCCGATCGTGGACTGGAAAGACAGATTCGAACACTTGAATGACCGGAGTCGTAAGACGGACGGATTCACACCTGCGGTTAGCACGAATTCAGGCACCCACGAGACCCGTTTCTACATCCTGGTAACACTCGTCAAACCAAATCCGTGGAGTCAAGCGATTGCCAGCTATGGGGGATTGGTGTGTGGAGAAACCATATCCACGTTGATAACACGAACACCCCCATAAAGCCTAAACCTCCAAAAAAAAACCCTAAAACCCCGGAGCTTGTGTCCCATAAAACCACGTCCAGAAGACGTTAAACCCGACACGGCCCGACATGCTATAAACCCCGAAACGAGCCTCTAGAGTCCTTGATGCGGCTGGTGCGTGAATCGCGCGTGGCGGAATCGAGATGGGTAACTGAATCGGCGGTGCTCGAAAGGAGTGCTTGAATCGCACGCTTGAATCTCGATTGCTTGAATCGTGCTCGAATCACGACTTTGCGTCGGAAGGGTGCCCTGAACTCTGTCTAGGGTCTCCTGACCCCTTCCGGAAAGGTCCATGTATGTCCTCGTGGCAACAGCGGCAAGCGGCTCAAATTGACCGCTTTGCGAGCTCGGTCCATGGCCTCTGGACAGGAGGTCTTTACACTCATGCAAGTCTCTTCGCCTCTGGCTCGCTAGGACTTGGTGCCAGCATGTTCCACCACACTCTCTCACAGTCTCACAGCTCTTCAGGGTTCTGTAGTGCCACAGTGCCATCGAATGTCTTGGAGCCTCCGCAAAGGTAGAGCCGCCCCTGTGCTGCCAGCGCGGCTGCATGGATTCGGGGCCACGTCATGGCGGGAAGCTGTTCCCAGAGCCCTGAAAGACGGGGAGACGCTGAAATCAGGCGAGTGCTCCGCTGCTTCACATGTACTAGACAGAAGCTTCCCGTGCAAGTAGAAATACTCAATTAGACCTGCGTGCATCGCCTGGCCGTGGACCTACACAAGTTCAAGCTACAGGCGTATTTGCATTGCAGTGCAACAGCGCCAGAGCACGAAGCTCAACCTTCTGGTCGCCAACAGCAAGAACTAAACCTACCGCCACTTTGCCTTTCGTGGTGTCCTGGCAATAATCCGGCCTGTGCATGGGTCGAAGCGCTCGGCAGTGTTCAATGCCCCGTGCTGCTCCGAACCGCCGCAGACATACCTCGGGGCCCACTTGCGCACTCCGACACTCAGAGCTGGAGCCCTGGGCCCCACATCGTCCGCGTCTGAAGCGCCAGGACACGCTGCAAAAGCACAGTTCCTACATGCTTTTATGCTGCAGGGCGAAGAAAGGATTTCAACTCTGAAAAACCTTCAGTTTGAGGTCTGACACAGCGGTTGTCGGTATTGCAAGGTGCGAAGGTATGCTAGTGAGCCGAGCCCATGGCAGACAACCTCCGAGGACGGCCGAGGAGGCAGCGAAGCGTCGCTGCTGCATGGCCGGAAGCGCCTTGACTGAGAGCTAGGTTCAGCTAGCAATGATCTTGTTGCTAGCAGCTTTGCCCTGCCTCCCACAGCCCTGTGGATGGATCTAGCCGCTCCCCCGATCGACGCACCTTGTCCGGGAGCGGTCACGCAGCAAGCAGGAGGTGTTGATCACGTACCAGGTGCCTCCATATGGTCGCTCCCGCCGACCACGAAGAGCCAGGTCAGGGCATCCTGGCTAAGCCACTGTGAGTTGCGCAAACGGCCCCTTGTGCTCGGGCTTGGTGTGCAGCAACGCTAGGATGCATGTGTCTCTGCTGCGATCCCGCAGAAGCATTGCGAGAATCTTTGTTGAAATCGGGGTATATGTTGGGATGAGCACGACGTTGGCCCGCTCTACCCGGTCACCACCATGCAAAGCAAAAGCGGAGGATTGCCTACCATGACGCTGAAATGATGCTACTACCACCAGAGTGGCTAGCTGTGCGGCTCTCCTCCCCTCCATTTCCTACCCGGCTCTAGCAGATGTGGCGGCCTGCATGGCGAGAGCATTGCCAGCAAGCTTTTCTGCCAGGGACCGGCAGGTTGCCTGTCACCAGCAAACGGCTGTCAGACGTCTGTGTTGTCCAACGTTTCACTACATGTCTCCGTCAGACTACTGATGCTTCGTCAACAGCGACACATGCCAACGTTCGCTTACGAAGCCATTGCCTGCCCAGCAACACTCCACCCAGGACAACAAGGTGTCCTTCAGGGATTGGAGCCCCTTGTGGCCGGCGAAGCGGGCTGTCTGCACGGCCAGGTGAGTTGGCTCCTCGGGTCGGAAGCAGGGATGCCATGCGATGCGGTTCTGTGGGAACTATTCCATGCCACTGGTCTTGCACTGCTTACGCGTCTACCCGGCTACCCGCCACATGCTTGTTTTCCATCATGAGATCTAACAACAGGAGTCTTGCGCTTCCATGTCCACGCCTCCAGCACGTCTCGCAGTGTTGCCTCGAATTTGCAGGGAGCCCGCAGCAGCGCAGCTTCAAAGCGGCGCCTCTGCAGAGACATGCTCAAAGCCCCACGGGGTCACCTGGCTGCTGCGCAGTGCTACGTAACAGGGGCAGCTCTTCGGCCTATGCAAGGAGGCCGCGAAGGTATCAGGACGCAGCAGGCGCTGGTCGAAGAGGCACTCCAGCAGTGCCCCCTGCTCCTGACGATGGGAGCGGGTTCCCCAATCGGCCTGCCGCCTCACATGCCCTCCACGAGAATGAAGAACTCTCCTCTCGCAGCTGGAGCAGCGCCTGCCTGGCGTGGACACTAGGTCACAAGGCCCTCGCCGACTTCCAGCGGTGAAACCACAAGCTACTTGTACCAGGGGAGGCCCTCGGCTAGAAGAGGCGATGGATGCTTGGGTCAAAGCTCTACTGGTATGACAATGCGGCCAGCCTCAGCGCTCGAAATTCAGAGCGGTAGCTCGGGCTTGTTGGTGAAGCCATGCTCTGGAGGCACTTGTGGCCGTCGCATGCTCTTCTGTTCAGTGCCAGGCGTTCGTCGATGTTGAAAGAACTTTAAACACGCGCACGTCTGTGTGTCCAAGACGAAAGTCAGTTGATTCTAAGACGAGACTACACGAAAGAATCGAAGGCAGGGCCCGAAACTACAGGTCCACAGTTGCGGCTTTTGGGTATGTACCAGCAGGCCTCAAGAAACAGCCATGCAGCCACTCAATCCTTTTTGGGATGCCCTTGGTTGTCTGTGTACGCCGTGTGCGCCCTCGGTGAGAATCTGAGAAAGTAGCTGAACCTCAGTTCTTCTTCTTCTTCTCGAGCTTGCGCCTGTAGAAGCTCAGCTCCTCGCCCTCGAGCACATAACCGTCCGCGCGGCCGCACTGGCCTGGACGGGAGGCGATGCACGCCAAAAGGCGTCCACTCTGGAACTGCTCCTCCAGGTTGAGGTCAAGCTTCTGGTTGGCAGCACGAGCCTTCTGCTTGGCAATAACGTGTCGGCTTTTGTGCTCCTCTGCCTCCTCCTTCTTCTCCTCCTTCTTCTCACCACCCTTCTTCTTCTTGCCGAGGTCCATGCCATACTTCTTCTGGTACCACTGCATGAACGGGTGGGCATCGATCTGTACGACTGTGTTTTTCAGAAGAGTCTTCGTTCGCACCAACTCGTTGCTGGTCGCGTTGTAGACCACATCCAAGATCCTAACCTTCTTCGTCACATTCTCGGAGCCCCACGCATAGTTTCCTGTGTCTAGCCTCAGGGCGCGGTACTTCTTGTTGCCACCGCGGCAGCGCACCACGCGCACGCGCTTGTTGCCCAGCTTGCAGGGCGTCGCCGGCCGACCCATCTCATACTTGCGCTTCTTGATGGAGACATTGCTGCGGCCTCCGGTCTTGTAGTGCTTGTGCCGGGAGTCACGTGAGATCCCCATGCTGCTTGTCTACACCGCCCACACGGGCTTTCTACCAAGGGCAAATCCTGAAGCCAAAAGCATCACGATTCTTCACACTCCTGTCGCATGAGACGGCCAAGTACAAGCCGCTACTGAACTGGGAACACTCGTCCCGCCTGCGTGAGGGCCTCTAGCTGCCTGGGCATACACCCTACCACAGACCCAGCAAGCAAGCAAGCTGCACGACTGGCAGACGCGAGCATCATGCACGGAAGACGTTTTAGGATCTGCCAAACTTCGCGAGTGTTGTTCCGCCAGGTCGTCACAACTCAGTTCTTCTTCTTCTTCTCGAGCTTGCGCCTGTAGAAGCTCAGCTCCTCGCCCTCGAGCACATAACCGTCCGCGCGGCCGCACTGGCCTGGACGGGAGGCGATGCACGCCAAAAGGCGTCCACTCTGGAACTGCTCCTCCAGGTTGAGGTCAAGCTTCTGGTTGGCAGCACGAGCCTTCTGCTTGGCAATAACGTGTCGGCTTTTGTGCTCCTCTGCCTCCTCCTTCTTCTCCTCCTTCTTCTCACCACCCTTCTTCTTCTTGCCGAGGTCCATGCCATACTTCTTCTGGTACCACTGCATGAACGGGTGGGCATCGATCTGTACGACTGTGTTTTTCAGAAGAGTCTTCGTTCGCACCAACTCGTTGCTGGTCGCGTTGTAGACCACATCCAAGATCCTAACCTTCTTCGTCACATTCTCCGAGCCCCACGCATAGTTTCCTGTGTCTAGCCTCAGGGCGCGGTACTTCTTGTTGCCACCGCGGCAGCGCACCACGCGCACGCGCTTGTTGCCCAGCTTGCAGGGCGTCGCCGGCCGACCCATCTCATACTTGCGCTTCTTGATGGAGACATTGCTGCGGCCTCCGGTCTTGTAGTGCTTGTGCCGGGAGTCACGTGAGATCCCCATGTTGAGAGGGGCCAACACTGGCGAAGTGGCCTGAACCTGTACCCTGAACGAGCCAATGCGCGGGCAATGACACGAAACATCAACTTCACATGAAACCACATACGGAAGGGAAGCTGCAATCAGGCAGAACAGCGACATCCCCGACACGAGTTTTCTATCCATCGCGTCGTGAGTCCATACCTTCAGGTTAGCCAGCATCTCAGAACTTCAGCTCGTGGGGGTACATCTTGGAGGTCAGGGAGAAGCGAGCCTTCAGGTACGCCTTGTGGTCAGCGCTCAGAGCACCCACGATGGGGGCATCCATCTTCTTCTGACCGTCCTTCTTCTCCTGAGGGGTCACCTTCTTCGGGGCCTCAGCCGCAAAGAAGGACTCCTGAGAGTGTGCGCCCGACTTCTTCTTGGCCTTGTCGCTGGCAAAGTAAGCATCGGTGACGGACGCGAAGTCTGCGCCCTTGAGGTCGACCTTGGTGGATGTGCCGATGCAGTACCGCTGGTTCACGCGCTTCAGCGGAACGCCGTTGATGGCGTAAGGGCCAGTGACGAGGAGGAGGCCACTCTCCAGCTGCTTCAGGAAGACAACCCGTCGGCCTCTGAACTTGCTCGCAAGCAGGATCAGCACGGATCCCGGGGCGATGTTCTTCTTCAGCTTGGGAGTCTTCTTTTCCACAGTCTTCTTCACGCCCTTGGGGCCCACCTTCTTGTTGCTGTACTTCTTCTGCCTAGTTCGCTGCTGGCCTGCCTGACCCATGGCTGCCTAGAAGCTCCCTCACTTCAACGATGGATAAGTCTCACTACCCTGGGTCCAAAAACAAGAGTGCGGGAGAACATGAAACGAACCTGCATGCCATATCGAGACCGCCGAAAAGCGACCTCAACATGTCAGAGAGCTTCAGCGACCACGGCATTTTTCCTTGTGCGTGCAGGTCCTGGGAAGTCCATTAACATCGCAGCTGTGATCTCAGAACTTCAGCTCGTGGGGGTACATCTTGGAGGTCAGGGAGAAGCGGGCCTTCAGGTACGCCTTGTGGTCAGCGCTCAGAGCACCCACGATGGGGGCATCCATCTTCTTCTGACCGTCCTTCTTCTCCTGAGGGGTCACCTTCTTCGGGGCCTCAGCCGCAAAGAAGGACTCCTGAGAGTGTGCGCCCGACTTCTTCTTGGCCTTGTCGCTGGCAAAGTAAGCATCGGTGACGGACGCGAAGTCTGCGCCCTTGAGGTCGACCTTGGTGGATGTGCCGATGCAGTACCGCTGGTTCACGCGCTTCAGCGGAACGCCGTTGATGGCGTAAGGGCCAGTGACGAGGAGGAGGCCACTCTCCAGCTGCTTCAGGAAGACAACCCGTCGGCCTCTGAACTTGCTCGCAAGCAGGATCAGCACGGATCCCGGGGCGATGTTCTTCTTCAGCTTGGGAGTCTTCTTTTCCACAGTCTTCTTCACGCCCTTGGGGCCCACCTTCTTGTTGCTGTACTTCTTCTGCCTAGTTCGCTGCTGGCCTGCCTGACCCATGGCTGCGGAGCTGTGCTCTGCACTCGCAGGGGGAACGCAACCCTCGCAGCAAGCCGAAAATGTCGTCAACAGTGGCTGGTCACAACAGTCAGAGCAGCAACTGCCATGAGAGATTTGAAAGGAAAGTTGATGCAGCATCAGGCAAGCTAAACAAACTAGAACTATCTGGAAATCTAGAAGTTTACCTGCTGTGTGCCACGCTTTTCCCCTGCGCATGATTGGCTGTAAGATACCGCAAAGCTGCCAGAATCTCAGAACTTCAGCTCGTGGGGGTACATCTTGGAGGTCAGGGAGAAGCGGGCCTTCAGGTACGCCTTGTGGTCAGCGCTCAGAGCACCCACGATGGGGGCATCCATCTTCTTCTGACCGTCCTTCTTCTCCTGAGGGGTCACCTTCTTCGGGGCCTCAGCCGCAAAGAAGGACTCCTGAGAGTGTGCGCCCGACTTCTTCTTGGCCTTGTCGCTGGCAAAGTAAGCATCGGTGACGGACGCGAAGTCTGCGCCCTTGAGGTCGACCTTGGTGGATGTGCCGATGCAGTACCGCTGGTTCACGCGCTTCAGCGGAACGCCGTTGATGGCGTAAGGGCCAGTGACGAGGAGGAGGCCACTCTCCAGCTGCTTCAGGAAGACAACCCGTCGGCCTCTGAACTTGCTCGCAAGCAGGATCAGCACGGATCCCGGGGCGATGTTCTTCTTCAGCTTGGGAGTCTTCTTTTCCACAGTCTTCTTCACGCCCTTGGGGCCCACCTTCTTGTTGCTGTACTTCTTCTGCCTAGTTCGCTGCTGGCCTGCCTGACCCATGGCTGCGGAGCTGTGCTCTGCACTGGCAGGGGATGTAACCTGATCCAAAAGGACCGGACCAGCACGCAAACACGACGAGGCTTTCTAAACTCGGCTATATAATACATCGAACACACGCAAGCCTGACTAGTGTCCTGCCGGCCGAATTAGAAACATCGCAGGAAACCATTTTTCTTCCACCTTGGTGGAACTGCAACACCTGCTAGTTCGTCGACCCGCGCAGCTTCGCGCGAGTGCATCAAATGCAGGGTGGGAGGTCGTACTTGGAGTAGCCAGCGAGCTGGACAGCTCGGCAAATTGCCGTGATTAAACTGAAGTATACTGAAGTTATACCTGAACTGATGCTGGTTCGTAGATTCCGGATCGCCAAGTTCTGCGGTCAAGCCCTTGGCGCCAAATCCAAGCACGATATGTACAGACCACGCTTTCCCATTTAGGATGCTTGTGGTCATGATTTCGTTAAAGTTGGAGACGCCGAACGAAGCCTCAATGAAATGAGCCAGACAAGGCCTTTCAAGTCTGTTGCCACCCTGGCCGTGGAAATCCTCAAATCCAACCCCGTCCAAGCACATTCAAGCACATTTCTGCATTAGGCCTCAGTCGTTGGCGCCGGGACTAGTAGCTGAGATCTAAAGTGCCCACTTTTGCATCCGGGATCACCCCCTGCTTGGCCTTGCCGGTCCTCTGCTCACTTGGGCAACGCCTGAAAGACTTTCCGCAACCCTTAGATCTGAGGCGCATCAAAGAAGCCACCCCCCACCGACGCGCCTGCTTCACTTTGGGCCCGCAGAGGAAGGTCTCGAGGTGCGCTGCGAAAGTGTGAGGATCCATGATGCCCTGAATTGGGCGCACAACAAAGACAGCAAGACTGGGACCCTTTAAGGCGCGGCATAGCGTAGCGTAGTGGTGCCTGGTCCAGGCAGAAGATGCTGGGAGGCGAGGCCACCCCCAGGCCTGGGCTGCACAGCTTCACGCTCCGGGCTTTGAGCATTTTTGCATGCCATTTTGCATCCATGGAAGTCCCCCGCTTTTTCAAGAGACTGATAGTTAGGCGCACTTAGAAATGTACTTAAGCGTCATTACTGCGAAGGATCCGAGGCACCATAGTCCCAGGGCTCCTCATTCTCATCTTGGCTTTGGCCCTGCAACATTGGCAATTGCAGCTTCCGTAAAGCACACGGCCCAGGCTATGTTCGTGCTTGTCCCCTCATCTTCAAAAAAAAAACTGCCTTCACTGACCGCAGGCTACGATCCACCAAGATTCCGACTCCCACTAGATTTCATATCATGCACTGCTAAACAACATGAAAAGTGCCTCCACCACTCTCTGTCGAGATCTGAGAAGTCCCACCACACGAGCCAGTGCCTTCATGCCCGTGTGAACCAGGTGTGACTCATCTTGACTCATCTTGGGACTTTCTACTAGTTTTGTGCCGTGTCTGGGAGTGAACCAGTTGAACCCGTCTGAAGGGGCACGTCCCAGGCCCTGCCAGACACGCTCAGGAGCCCTTTCCTCCAGGAACTCCACGAAGCTCATCTCCAAGGAGCCTGGACGCCAGACTGGGATCTGTCAAACACGTGCGGTTGCCGCTTGCACTGTGACTGTGGGTCGAGCGGGTGCTCGTGAGTTCGTCCATCTGCGTGATGGAAGCGCTTTGCCATGCCCATGCCTGTGTGCGGCTCAGGCTTTGGGAACCCGGGTCCGGCCCTGCGGGTCGCAGAGCATAGCTCGTCTACGAGGGTGCAAGCGAGGTCTAGCAAGGAAGCAGGTCCTGTGAATGACACCTACCCTCGCCGGCGGTCGCGTGATTCGCGTGGTCTCCTGCAAGACGGAAAGCGAGCTGGGGTCCGGACCCTGTCCCAGGCATTCATCTGGGCATTCTCAGCTGATGGTGTGCAAGGCATCACCTCGAAGGCTGTGACATGCTCACACGCCCAGTTTGTACCGAAGGCTCTGCGCAGCAGGACCTGTAATTGGGAATAAATGCCGTCAACTCCGGAGGGCCTCCATGCAGTCGAGCATGCGAAACCAGTCCTGCGCTGCCGACGAAAACCGCCCTCGGCCCTCAGCTTTCTTCTCGGGAGTCCTCCGTGCTGAGGCGTTTCTTCGAAGCGAAGGCCGAGAACAGCGGATCGATGACCGCCTGAAGCCAAAGAGTTTGGGCCACAGCCTAGCAGCGCCTAGCAGCGCCTAGCAGCACCTAGCAGCACCTAGCAGCCGGAAGACACCGAGCCTTCATGTGCTTGCGGTAAACTCCCTCCACCTGCTCGGAGTGAAGAACAGTTTCCCTCCACTGCCTGAGCTGGGACGGTGTAACTTGCGAGCCGCGGGATTCGTGTGGCATTGACTTGCAGTCAGACGTTATGCTTGCATGCCCATACTGAGTTGAAGCAAGTTGCAGGCACCGGAAGTTGTTCTTCATAGGAGCGTAGGGATACCTTTCGACGTGGGGAAGACTTGAATTTCACTGATATCAAAGGCTTTCTTCACGGCCACGCACGCTCTTGACTTCACATCCAGACCATCGCCAAGCAATTCTTTTGGGACACAGGAGATGCTTCGTCATGAGGTAGTAGAGAGCTCGGCGAACTTGGTCAGTCTGTCCCTGCGGGTGTGCGATAGATTGGACGCTCACACAGCACAGCATGGCACCACAAGGCACCACACATAAACAAGTCCGCATCTTGTCACTCCGTCACCCACAAACTATCAAAATCAAGATGTATCAAGAAGCAGACACGGCAGCACCGTCGAGAGTCCAGTCCTACTATGTCAGATATCCGCATGAAAATGGCACACCAAAAGACCATGCTCGCAAGCCCTCTTTTGCATGGTGGATTGGTGTGGCTGCCGACTCCCGGGATGCTCCTTCGGTCGAAGACCTCAGACAAGAATGAGGCCGTTCCGAAACATAGGAGGGTCCCCTCCTTCAGGGCCTACGGCACCTGTGGATCGGGAACCCTCCTTGTACAGAAAAGAGTTCCAAAATTTTGTGCCGTCCAGAAAGAAGCCTGTACAGGAGGCAGCCACATCCTCACCGGGCGCCCTGCGCGGGCCCATGGGTGAGGTCAGAAGGATCGTCGAAAATACGATCTTCCAGGATAGAGCGGATGAAGGAAAAATGCTCGAGCACGGGTTCCACCGGCAAGCAGAGAGATGGAGTGAAACCTTGAAAGTTGGGATGAGTCAGATCATCAGCCCACGTGTTGAAGTCACGCTTTACGTGGGAGGGAGCGAGCTGCATACCATGCCGGTGCAGCTGGTACAGTACCTCCATGAGGATGACCGACGTTGGCATCCTCTTGGACTTATCGTTCAGGAGCGAGTACACATTCCCTTGGTTGTCGCTGACCAGGGGGAGCCTGAGGTTCGGGATGAACGCAGGCGCCTTCTCCATGAGAAAGTGAGAAAGGATCAGTGTGCCAAACATCTCGAGGGCAGCAATGCGCTTTTTCGGGCAGCCCTTGTCAAAGGCCCATGGATGCCGCTCTGCAGTGACCTGGTAGTGGAACCAGAAGACTTCCGACTTGGACGGGGAGTCCACGTTGGAAAGCCAGCCGCCCACATAGGCGCTGCCATCATCTGAGGCGCTAGCATCACTTGCCCCCGACCAAATGGCAAGCGGGGCATACGGCGATGCTTGTCTGAACTTCTGGTCAAAAAGAGAGAGGAGCAGAGCTGAGAGTGCACGGATAAGCTTCCCCGGACGTCCTGCAGTCAGGCAGGCCTTCTTCCAAGCCCAAAAGGGTTGGAGGAAAGGCTTGGTGAGGGGGCAGGCCGTTGTCGCCCACTGCAGCCTACCCAAAGCGCTAGCAATCTGAGAAGCCGACATGACTTTACCGCTTTTAAGCTCTTCAAGAATGCCGATGACAAGCAGGTGCTTGTCTCGGGCCATCTGCACACAGGGTCCTTTTGGGTCAATGACAAAGCCAAGCCAAGTATTGACTTCAGCAAGCAGGGTTTTCTTCCAGCTCAGAGGAGTGCCGAGAGCAAGCAGCAGCAAGCAAATCGCTGTTGCCAGCAGAGGGGAATTCGATTTACGGAGTAGCCAGGCAAAGTCGTCGACAAAAACAAAACCCCAGTCGACCTCGGGAAACACGGCATACACAATCCTAAGAAGGATGGCAGCCATCCTTCCCCAGTAGAGCTGGGCACTGGCCATTCCATAGGTGCCTACGGTGTTAACCCACCATTCCTCACCAAGCTGGGCAACTTGGTAACGCCACTCTCGTAGGAGAATCTTGATTCTCCTGTGCGCCTTAGTAACATCAGCCTTGAGCAAGATCCAGTCCTCGCCAGAGCCCGGGAAGCTCCAGGGTCGGCCGGAGCCGGCGCTGGAGTCTGCGTTACCCGACGGACCGTCCTGTTCCCGGCTTGTCGCCCCTGGGGCAGTAGCCAAGGTTGCATGCTCCTCAGGATCAGGGCCATGGGCGCCTGGTTTCCCACGAGGGCGAGATGCCCGAAGCCAGTGCAGGCATTGGACGCAGTCCATGACCGTTGGGGCCGTGGTTTTCTCTACGGTATTCTGCTGTACACGGAGATTAGCACCTCCCTTAGACCCATCGAAGATGGAACGGATCTTGTCCGACTCATCAATCCCCGCCATGGGGCAGGGGCAGAGCTCGTCCTCTGCACATTGGCAATGCGCCGCTGCCTCGGCGCGGGTGCACGGTCCAATGACCATGCCCAAGGGGGTTTCCTCAACAAAGGTGGCCCGGATCTCCTCCCTAAATGTGTCCGCGGAGGAGTAATTAGCATGGCCAGTGGGGGGTGGAGCTTCCACCGGGTCCCACTCTTCACCAATGAGTTCGGATTTCAAGGGCCAGACGCCCGGAGATTGGAGAGTAGGGGTATCCACTCCAAGAGGGACTCCTTCTTTGAGTATCTGCGGATACTCAGCATCGACATCTTGGATGTCACACAGGAGTCTCCTGATCACGTCCAAGTGAAAGGGCTGTCCAGCATCCGGTTGGGGGCGCCGGGGCATGATGAAATCACGAATGTCGTTGAGAACAGATTCCGGGAAGGGGTGCTGCTTGGCACCCGCGGCCGTTGAGGCTAGAAAAGAGGGGACCCACGGCCCCGCCTTTTCGCGAATGAACTTGCCCAGAGCAGGAGCCGTCGGTCCTTTGCGAAGGTGTGGAGGGGTCCTACCAGGAGAGGTCTTTCCTCCACCATCCCTTAGGGGCCTAACCTTAAAACCACACGCATTGTGGCATCGTCGAGGGTAAGCTTCTCCGAGAGCGGTAGCGTCGAAGGCCGATCACACCCAATCATCGGGGTCGCAGCGAGCAAGTGATCGCCTGCCTGGGTACCTGCACCAGGAAACCCAGCAGTCTGACGCTTCCCTCCCAGCGAGGGTAGGGAGGGTTGAACAGCCGCCCCAGGGGGTGCTGACCCTTGAGCCGCCCAGTGAGGACGCTCCTGTCCCAGCGAGGGACCAGCAAGGAGTTTGAAAACAGGATCCGGTGGTGAATCCTTTGCTGGAGAGCCTGTGTCGCGAAGCTTACCAGCTAGTGCCGATGCGATACACTGTAGCATGGCTTCAGGTCGTCGAGCGTCCCCCGGCACGGGACGATCCGGTTTGGGGTGATGGGTGTGTGTGCAGGTCTTACCCTCCCAGGATTGGAGGGGAAGATTCGTCACGGCCCTAGACGGACGACTAACAACCCAACCAAAGGAACACAGATCGAAGTGCAGAATACCAAGACCTAAATCTGAGGTCCAAGCACGCAGAGCCGAAGTGGCCCAGGCCGATGAGGAGCGTCGTTTGGACGGAGAAGTGGCTCCTCGCGCAGGGTCCTCAGCCATCTCCAGAAAACAGAAGACCTTAGCAGTAGCACTAGACGAAGTCGCCTTGAAGGCGAGCCATGCAAGCAGAAGGAACCTAAGGAGCAGGGTGCTCTCCTCATCCGCCGAGTGGAGCGTTGCCTCAGGGAGAGCGGCAATACCCCAGGCGTTCTCCGCCGAGCGGGACCTAACTGCCTGGAGAGTACCCGAGTCCTGAAACCATCTATCCAAACCCCAGGTGTTGAGGTCCGGGCATCCTCCCACAAAGGAGATGCTTCCTTGCAGCGCCGACGCACAGAGAGACCCAAACAGTGTGTTATTAAGGAGGTCCTTACCAGGGGGCTTCCTAGAGGAATCTAAGGCCAGAACTCTCGAGGAGAGGTCTGGGGCTTGAGCATGGAGGATCGCTTCAAGGGATGAAGCATCCTCACGGCCAGCGAATGGCAAGATTATGGCACCCTGAGGAATGCTGGCAGTGCAATCGGAGGGGGACCACTGGAGTCTCCGGACCAGGCGGTCGGGGACCCCATTAAGCCATTCAGGAGAACAATTTGCAGGCAGAGAGCCCGGGTAATGTTCCTCAATCCAAGGCCCGAGAGAGAAGGGCTTGTCATCCGAGGGAGCACTACCAGAGGGCTGCATGCCCACTTGAATGGTGTTCCCCCCTGGCGCGGGGGCGGTCTTCCCACGGGGAGATCGCGATCTGTCCCGTGCCTGTACTCCTTCAGGGCCAAGGGCACCTGGTGTGGAGAGGGCAGCTCGTGTCTCCACTTCCGACACTTCTCTTCGTTCAGGGCCACGGGCACCTGGGACTGGAAGTCCTCACTTGTAGGGACAGTTGTCCGGACTGTGCTCATTCGGAGGGGCATTGCACACCCAACCGTCTTTAGTGACCGGGCAGTTGTGGGAGCGTCCACAGTTACCGGGGCACTGCTTCTTGATGTGGTAATCTCTGCAGAAGGGGGTGCCCTTAGGATTATTCCTGGACCAATTCTGGGGCCAGGAGTCCTTGCCCTTGCCCTTGGGAGTGCCCTTCTTACCTTCTTTGCCCTTAGTGGACTGCTTAAGAAAGGGCTGATACACGGGCTGGTACGCCGACCAGGTTTGCTTGCCTTTCCAGGACCCCTTGCCCGGGGCTTTGGCGAAGGGAGTGCCTTTCTCACCCTTCGGAGTGCCCTTCGGACCCTTCTCCCCAGGCCGAGGCACGCGCTCGTAGACTTCCCTTGTCCAGAAGAGGGCATCAGCACGAACTTCCATCATGGCCTCTTTGAGCGATTTGCCCTCGTAGACCAGATTGTGTATGGCTCTCCACGCGTTTCGTTCAGCGTAAAGGAAAGTTTTCTCCGACGGGGCTGGAGTTCGCCCCGCAATGTCCGGACCCCAGAACCAGTCATACCAATCATCAAGATCATGCTTAGACGCATCGAACTGCGAGAACTGGGGGAAAGCAAGAAGACACATCGAAAGATTGTTGCGGAAGACGCGGTGCATCCTTTCCAGATGTCGCCGAGTGGTCGGGAGCCTCCGCTCCTCTTCCTCCTCTTCTTTGTCCCAACCGTCTACTGTCACTTTTCGCCTTGTCTTGAAAGGCTTCTCTTCAAGCTCTGGCAAGGCACTGATGATGTATTTCGCATTGATGAAGCCGAGTTCTCCTTTGGAGCAGAAGCGGAACTGCGCCTTGAGAAGGTTGTCACTTCCCTGGGCCTCAAGTTTGGGCTTCGGGAGCCCCGTTTCCTTAGTCCAATCCGTGAGGAGCTGGTGACGGTCACAAAGCACTTCGAGGCCTGATCGATCCGAAGAAGCCTGGCCAGGCGTGACACTGGATCGAGGTGCATAGAGGTTCTTGGTCATTTCCTTAGCCGCTTTGATTGCCTGAAAGAGACGCATGGCAGTGAAAGCGCTGCTTTGATCTGTGAAACCATTGGTCCCGCTGGCAAAACCTAGATCCTTAGGGCCATTGGTTCTGGCGGCCGACGCATCGTCCCAGCGGTCGGCGATGTCTTCCAGAGTAATGTAGCCCTCCTTGGCCAAAGCTGCCTGGACAGAGTAGGGGATCTGTTTTCTTGCCAACAGGGTGGAGACAGACGAGTGCAGCCCTGCGATGTCGTCGGCATAGGCATCTGGGATGGTTTCAGGAGGCTTGGCTAAAGCCGCCATGGGGAAGGGAGGGCGGGTTTCAAATTATGAAGGACCCACGGTCCACGATCTTGGGCCAAAATGGCAGAGCCATTTTGGCAGACGTCTCCTGACATAAGTCTTGCAAGTCGGCAAGCTTTGTTGCAAGTAACTAATGCCAGATATCCGCATGAAAATGGCACACCAAAAGACCATGCTCGCAAGCCCTCTTTTGCATGGTGGATTGGTGTGGCTGCCGACTCCCGGGATGCTCCTTCGGTCGAAGACCTCAGACAAGAATGAGGCCGTTCCGAAACATAGGAGGGTCCCCTCCTTCAGGGCCTACGGCACCTGTGGATCGGGAACCCTCCTTGTACAGAAAAGAGTTCCAAAATTTTGTGCCGTCCAGAAAGAAGCCACAGCTGAAGGATGGGCGGCACAAAAGAACCCCAAAACTGAAAGATGTCGTCCATCTAAGGCTGGCCTTTGGAGGCCAGAGCCCTGTCCAGGTCCTGGTAGGTGACCTTTTCCGCTTCCGACGCCGTGTCCACAGAGTCATCCGTCAGGCTACCTGAGGAGGCAGCATCCCCCGCTCGAAACTCTGCCGGCAAGGAGAACTGAAGGAAGCACCTCGCACACAGGTTGTAGGAGTTCACGTCGCCCTGATAGTCTATGGCGTTAAGGGCCTCCACCTTGTCCATAGAAGGGCTCCAACCGCAACCCACAGCCCGGAGGTCCTGATTCAAGAGGTGGATCCGCTTTTTGTTGCCTCGGGCCACCTTGGTGGCTACAGGGGTGAGAGGTCCTTGAGGCGGAGGCACTTCGTCCGCCGGGATCTGCGTCATAAGCCAGCTCGACGCCGGGCTGTCTGCATGGCGAGAAGGAGTGGATGAGTCCCTCACTGAACGCGGAGGGCTCCCTTTTTCAGGGCCGCTGGCACCTGAGACTGGGAGCGCACCCGCAGCAGGAATCTCCAGGGCGTGCTGCGGTTCCTCGCGAGAGAGATCAATGACCGAAGTGCGGGTGCCCGCCGTGTCGATCTGATCCAGGTTCGAGGTGACCTTTTCCCACGTGGGCTCCACTCTCTTGTAGAACTCGATCCGGTCCTTGACCCAGGACTCGTAGAGGTGCTGAGGGGGGTTCATCCAGGATGAGCTGGAGCTGAGCCGACTTCCCTTTGTGCTCCCCCGTGATGAGCAGGAACCGGCTGGCACCTCTGCCACTTCGCCAGAATCCTTTACAGTGGCCGCAAACGTAGCCCCCACGGGTCTCACCCTTCTTCTTGTCAACAATCTCCCACGGGGAAACAGAGCTGAGGACCAGGCCACACTCCATCTTGGCCCAGAAAACGTGGGCCGTCTTGTCCCCCACGTTCTTCTTCTTGTAGTCGTCCGAGGCCACGCTCGTGACATTGTCCGGGGTGATGGGCGGGAGGGAGCGCTCCTGCTCCGACCCCGGGTCCAGGGGAATCCTTTCAGCGCCAAAGGCAGCTGAGGAGTCCCTGTCCCCCAAGCCGAGGCCTTTGATGTGGCTCTCCGAGTAGCCAAGCTTGCGGTAGATGGGGCCGGCGTACTCCGGCTTGAGGCGGGCTGTCCACCACTGCACGGTGTTGCAGCGCCACGCCATCTTGACCTCCACCACCGACTCTTGACCCAGCGAGTTGGAGAGCAAGTTGTAGATCTCCGGGAAGTGCCGGAAGGCCTTCAAAGGAAGGGTGATCCTTTCGTCACATACGGCTCTCAATCGCATGTGCTGCTTGGAGTCATGGATGTCCGAGACAGGGAGATCCAAGACCACCTGCGGCGTACGGTTGATGAAGACCTTGGCAGCGAAAAAGGAGCCGATTTCGCGGTAGAGCTGCTTCCACTCCTGGTTTGTCGTGGGCACCGGGAGGTCGTGCAGAATCACAAACTCCTTGGCCTCCTTCATCAAATCACGGTGGTCGTCTCGTCGCTGCAGGTTCTGCTGCTTGTTCTTGGCCCCTCTCTTGTGGGGCCTGACGGTGATCGGCAGGTGGCTCCACACCGCGTAAAGGTGCCTGGCCGAGTAGGTGTGGCCGAAGCAGGAGAAGAGGCTCACCAAGTCCCACGTCTGCACCTCCTTTCTCCAGTGGGTGTTCCCGTCCCCCTCAGCATGGAACGGGCCGATGATCTTATCCAGGGGGGGCCTAGTGCCCATTGCAACCTGTGCCTCAATCTCCTCCATGGTGAGGGCAATCGGCTCGAAGAAGGGCTGCCTGAAGGAGCAGGGGTGTGTCCTCATCTCCAGCATGATCTTCTCCCCTTCGGGCAGGGGCTTTGCCCACGTAGGGGGCTCAAGGGGCCCCGGGTGCTGCTTCCATCTGCCCCCGATCATGCGCTGCTCCCCCATGTGCAGCTCGATGATACGTTTGAGGCGAAGCATCTGGAACTCGACCGAGCCCACTGGAACACCCAAGAATGCCTCCGGGGACTGTTCCTCAGGGCCAAAGGCGCCTGTGGAAGACAGCCCCTCGCCGGAGTCCCGGGCGACCCGCTCGCCCTCACGCAGCAGAGCGGCCAAAGTGGGAAGCTCTTGCAGAAGAGAGGCGGGGAACGGATTCCTGCTCTGGTTTAGCAGGAACTTCGTGTTCAAGTACCTTTCCCTAAGGGCCTCGATGTCGTCAAGCTCCATATCCTTGAGCGGGCACTCCGGGTTGAACACGTTCATCTCCAGGGCCGCGCGCAGCTGGGTGCCCCAGGTATCAATGGAGTCCGCCACCGGCCGGAGGAGCTGGGAGCGCTGGGATCCCTCATCCTGCATGCGCTTGTTCGAGGCCTTGGCCTCTTCCAGGCTAGTCTGCGCAGCGAAAAACTCGTCGCCCTGATTCCCAGGGCCCTGGAGGTAATTTCGCTTAAGAAGGGAACGAAGCTTCTCTGTATCCAGCTGCCGGAGGATTGACGCACCCTTTGCCTCCTCGACACTCTGTGCGCCCGCCTGCATCTCCACGATCACATCCAGCTGGGGGTTGATGTGATCCAAGAACTCCTCCTCCGTGGGCTTCTTGGGCTGCTTGTCCACCGGGCCCGAGCTCTTCTTGGTGATGTCCATCGCCGCCGCCAGCTGGGGACCGGAGGTGGGGTCTGTCCCCCGCCTCCTTGTCGGCAAACTGCACCTCGTCGAAAGGCTGTGTTGCCACCGTGTGAGCCAAGCTAAGCCTCAGGGCCATAGGCACCTGGTCGGCGAAGCTCAGCTCCTTCTGATCCGTGGGCCTGGGTGGCGGCTGGGCCCAAGAGCCAATGTCCACGGAGGCGGCTTCCTTCTGGGCCTCGTCTGCATCCGTGTGCCATGTGACACCCCGGGGGCCACAGAACATTCGCCAGGAGGACTGGCCTAGCTTGATCTCTGCCGAGGGCGGGCCCTTGTCCACGGCGATGACAGACTTCTGGCAGAGCACACTTAACCTCAACCTTGTTGTCCTGCCTCTGCCAATCCGTAAAGCAGTTCGGGCACATGAGGGTAGCCCCCGTACTGCCCGGGTCAAGCTGGCCCATGCTGCTGTGCCCCACTCCTCTGCGAGCACGGTTGTAGGGGGCGGCCAGCATCTTCTCCTGTGCCAGCTGTCGTTTGTAGATTTGGTACACCTCAAGGACTCGTTCCACAGCCGGGCGGTTCCACTGCTCCGACTTGAGCTCGGAGAACAAGGAGGCGATCTCCTCCTTTGTCAATTGCTGGGCCCAGTCTGCACTCTTCTTGCCGATGCCGGGGAAGTTTTCCGGGAAGCCCTCAATTCTGAAGACCTTCTCCTCCAGGGTGCCGGCGGGCAGGGCCGAGTAGGGCCTGGGCTTGTTGGCATCGTCCTTGGCCACCGTGTCGCCGCCCTCAGGGACAAAGTCACCTGTGGTTGGCACCTCCGGCCTGTCCATGGGGTCATCCGTAGCAGCACCCTCAGGGACAAAGTCACCTGTGGTTGGCACCGCCGGCTTGTCCATGGGGTCATCAGTAGCAGCACCCTCAGGGACAAAGTCACCTGTGGTTGGCACCTCCGATCCCGTGGTGTCCATGTCCTTGGACAAGGGGCTGTCTTCCTTGACCGCCACCATCTCGCTGCCCTTGGCCAACAGCCGTTTCATGGCAGCTTCCATTTCCTGGAGTCGCAAGTCCATGCTGGTGTCATCCACCTCCAAAGTCGTGAAGGAGGCCAATGCCGAATTGGCCGACTCATCCTCATGGGCATGGACATTGTGTGCCAAGGTAGCACGAGCCAAAGCCACTTCATCGTCGGGCTTTTCCCATTCCTGATCACTGTCTGCGAAATCACGAGGGGGCACCAAACTCTCAATGGTCTCCATGCTGGAAGCCAGGACGTCATCGACATTGGCGACGGGAGTGAGTGCCATGATCGACGGTCGCAAAGAGAAAGCGGGAGCGAATGTTTCAAATTATGAAGGACCCACGGTCCACGATCTTGGGCCAAAATGGCAGAGCCATTTTGGCAGACGTCTCCTGACATAAGTCTTGCAAGTCGGCAAGCTTTGTTGCAAGTAACTATTCTTTTGACATATTAGGCTATTAGGACAACCCGTTAATTTGGACATGCAAGCCCGTTGTGCATGGACAGCATACCATTGCATGTGCGCCTTCGATGTGCCCCGAGACTCGTTCCCGCGAGCGAAGCCTGAATCCCGTTCCACAGCTCAAGAATGTCAAGAACTCTCGGAAGCACGGCGAAGTAGTCTGAGACTCAAGGGCCATACAGGCCGGGCATATCCCGGGCGTTGTGAACATTGGCAATTGGATTGGCTTGTTGCGCTGCCTGCTGGAGCAGGAAAGGTCAAAGCCAAGCACCGCACAGATGGCCAATCTGACCAGGAGCCTGGAAAGGCCGCAAGGCCGAACGGGTTCAGCAAATTCGGACATGCTGGCATGGCTCCGGCGAACAGACAAGACGCTGAGGGCGATGCTCGAAAAAGCCATGTCTTTGGACGATTCGGCCCTCATGTCAAGACAACATGTGCATTGTCAATCAAAACTATGGTGGCGATGCCTGCTGGACTTCCTCTTGGCAGTGATCGATGCCGCGTTCCATGCAGTGCGAAGAGGAGGTCACCCCGATAAATGGAAGGTTCCCGCTGTAGAAGCCCAACAAGCCAACAAACCTTCTAAATGGTAACATGCCTCCGTGCAGAACTCCTCGAGCATTTTTTTCGTATCCTCGCGGCACGGCTGCAAGCAGTGCACGCAAGGCTGTTTGGTATCACGGTCGACTGTCGACGATTCGACAGGAAGCAAAGGAATAGCGAGTGACAGAATTCCACTGCTCAGCTTTCAGATGCTTGTCCTTGGGAGGCAAGGCCGAGGTGATGAACAGCGCATCTGCCTCCTTTAGGGAGAGGTCCTCGTGGGCTGTGCTGCCACACACTTTGAGCATGAAGAAGGTCTACGAATTACATAAGTTGTCGTACTCGGTGCTAAGCTGCTATGTCGATGGTCACTGCGGGTATGAACGGCTTTCCACACTAGACGTCCAGCAAGCTGGGCATCCGGCCTGCCCAATCAAGTTGTGCTGCACGAGCCTGAAGTCTGGGCTACCGGCTACCAGTCTCCAAGCAGAGCGGCGAAACTGGTGCCCACACTGACCCTACCCCACAGGCCCTTTCTCTTGCTGTGCCACTGCACACCACACAAGCCCTGCACATGTGCGTGAACTCGAAGGGGCCGATCCCGAAGGCAAGTCGCCTCGGGTCCTGACCGGACAAGCGCAGGCGATTGACCAAATGGTGGCTGTACAGCAGCTTCGGTGTCGCAACTGTCGCAAGCCGTCCACAGAGCTGGGGATGGTCAGCCAAGCACCCCTCAGTGCTCTCCTTGCCATGAAGCACACTCCAGTCCACCGAGCACAAGGAGCTGTAGAGCACCTGCAGCGCTTCGCCGCGCGACGCATCGCGAGGTCGCCACGCCCTGCACTCCTTGCCACTGCACTCAGCCTTCATCTCGGCGTACTTGCTCCGTAGAAGATCTCGAATACCCGCTCGCTCCACCTGTGGAGCTTGAGGATTTTGTTTATAAGCGCGGTTTCCGGTAAGGGCCCCGGGCTGGTCGCTTCCAGAACATCAGAGAACCACAGTAAGGCCGCGCCTCATCCGGCACGAGGCGCCAGATTTTCGACAAGTGCCAGTCGGCATCCAGACACCTTTCGCCTCAGCCGGCGAACTAGTTCACGTGATCGCCTACAGCACATTTCCTCCAGTTCACACTTCTAGGCTATGAGGGCGACAACCCATGGCAACCCACAATGAAAGCATGCTTGCACATCTCAGCACTGCGGCACCCAGCTAGAACCCCGGCCGCAGGAGTTTTTCCGGGCTGAGCTCCGTACAGAACTGCTTGGAGGTCAGGGGCTGGCAAGTCAGGTGCTTCAGGAGGTACTATTTACGAGGCCTCCTCTTTCAAAACTCCAACGTGAGCCTCGAAGTGAGGGGCGAAGAGTGAACTCTCGATGTTCCATGCCTGTCAGAGGGTGTTTCTCCCCGTCGCCAAGCCATGGAGTAAAGGCTCGGTGAGGCTCGGTGGTGCAGATAGTTGCAGACGCAGAGTCCACCGCTCTGCGAAACACGTTAAGTCTGTCCAGGTGGGCCGCGGCAGGTCCGTTGAGGCCCAGTGCGATGGCAATATGCTTTGTGGAATATCTTGCCCGGCAGTTGACTGCGTGTCTCATGCCACACCTGGCGTGGGCCGGTGCTGGACGTCAGCTCGCCAGGCAGCCGCGGAATGTAGGCCGTGCACACTGGCCTGGCTGTTGGTCCGAAATCAGTAGAAGCCACCATCGCGGAGAAACAATCAGGTCAGAACCACTCGTCTGCGGGTCGCGCCACCACCATGATCGTGCTGAAGGTGTCTACATCCACATCGAGAGGAGCGGAATCGGCCTCGGCACGAACCCTGCCCGGCTGGCCTGCCTTAGCATTGGCCGGATACTCTTCGCAAGCCCAGACACAGCAGGCGAAGCCGTTTCGTCGTCTTCCTCCAAGGGTGCTTGACTTCCGTTGGCAAACTTTCTGGACCACGACATCCTATTCAAGGCTCGGCCATGCCGCCTCAACCGGCAGACGCGCGCGCCGGAGACGAAGCGCCGGACCTTGGGTGAAGGGTGCTTAGAGATACGGTCCAAGCAAGGATCAAACTTCCCATCGGAATACCGAGCTACTTCGCCGTTCTTACACACACACACACAAACTACCTTAAACGTTGGAATGTCTTAGCATGGAGATTATGCACTTCCTTCATCATGTCATCTTCTTCCACCCTCTGCTTCAGTCATGCATCTTGTATTTGTTGGCAGAAGGATCTCAAGCCTTGATTTCATCACCACTGGATACACCCGTTTGTCAAAGGTTCCCTGTAGGTGCAGGCCATCTTCACGCAGTCACTGCCCAAGGCGCCAGCCATCCTTGCCCAGCACAGGCGAAATACCTGGCACCGAACGAATGCTGCTCACCGCATGGGAAAACAGCATAGCCATGCGTAGCTACAGCGGCCATAGCGGTAAGCCGAGCCAGCGAGGCTGGTGGAGGAGTAGACGCCCAGTCCGCCCTTCATGGCAGCAACCATCTCCCGAAGCTCCACCTTGCTCGGACGTAAGAGTCGGATGCGACTTGCCGCGGCGGGGGTTGGGGGAGGGGGGTTGGGACCGATCGCAGGCCTCTGGCGCAGTTCGGGAGCACAGAAGGGATGTCCCGGCTTGGAAGACGCAGCGCAGGGGCCTAGAGCGACAGCGACACTTTTCGAGAAGCTTTCATGGGCGGAGGGGCAGGAAATATTATACGACGAGAACCCTTTGAGTGGATCAGGGCTCCAGCCCCGGAGCAGCCATGACGTAGGTCACGAATTCCTTTCAGAGTCCACACAGGTCGTTTTCTGAGATCCTTTCCCAGCCCGCCCCGGCCGCGCCTCGCCAATGCGTTGAAGCTTGAGCGGCGTGGTGAAGCCGTCGATCGAGGTAAACACCTGGGTCAAGAAAATACCAGGGAACAGTCTCAACAGCCTTCACAACTCTCGTCGGAGGTGCGATGCCTAGCATCTGAGGGCCGAGCCCAAACATCTGAAACGTCAGGGCCAGAAATGCCCGGCACGTAGCTGAGCCTAGTCGCCGCTTTATTAAAGCGCGGCCACAGGCGGTTTCAAACTTACTGTTGCCACCTTGTCTCGCGCCAGCGATTGCACACCCAGCAGTTGCAGTCCTTCCAACGAAGCTGCAGCTCACGTGGCACATCCATTGCTGTAGCTCAAGCACAGTACTACCATGTCGCACCGCCGAACGAGATGCCTCCTCCTCCATCGCCAGCGAGGCCTTGCTCACACCCTGCAGCTCCTGACAGCTAAATGACCGAAAGCACCATCGCCAAGACAACAGAACGCAAGCGGCTGGGGCTGCTACGCATTTTTCACTGCCACACATAATCAGACGAGACTGTTGCCCATCTCTAAGACTCTACTTAAAGCAGGCCAGGGTGCACACGCCCCTGGACTGTTTTGGCGAGGGCTGGAGAGTTCGACGTGAGGTTCAAACAACCCTGTCACGGACGACCAGCTCTCTGGGTGGGGATGCGGAAACGGAGACGCAACATGTCGAAGTCTGTCTTGACTTGGGGCGCCTGGCCTGATGCGGTCCAGTTTTCTTCTCACGTTTCCCAATCCCTCAATCTCAGACATGTACAATCGTCTCAGAGGCTTCATGCTTTGCAGTGGCAAAGCCGACCCTGCTCGCATCGCGGTCGAAGATGCTGTAGTACTTGCGGAGGAAGGGGTCACCCAAAATCCACCTCATGACATAGCACGGCAACTGTCTTGTGCTCCTGGATTCGAAGGACGTCCAAATCTGTGGTCGGCTCCTGGTGCATGCCAAGCAGCAGGCCAGGGACACCGGCAGAGACGCCTTTCAGAGACTTATGCAGAAGGCATGTCCAACAGGAATCGCTCAGCTAAGGCCTTGGGGAAGGTTGTGTACTTAGACGGGTCAGGGCTCTATACCTTTGACCCTTGGCTGCCTTGAATGCCAAGCTCGCACTCGTCCGCACCGTTGTCATCCGCACCCCGCAGCACGTAGAAGTCCGGCTCCAGGCTGAAGTCCTTTTAAGAGGCTGAGAAGGAGGGCCTTTTTGGGAGGGGGAAGGCAAAGGACGAAGGAACTCCGGGCCTTGCCCGCCAGGGTGAAGGTCAGCGTGGGGAGGGACTTCACGTTGGAGCAGTCGCTTGCAAGGTGGCCGATCGTCTGGTTGATCTTCACGAACCTCAGAGATTTTCTGGGCCTAAGAAAGCCTCAAGGCCCCCACTCCGACTCCTCCCGCACAGGCAGCCAAGGAGCTGCAGCGGAGGCACTGCAATCACCGAGGTGCCGGTGTCAACGACCTCAGTCAGGTCGACGCCTTAAATTCTCTAAAAAGTAACACATGGCAATCCTTCGGTAAAGTTCCGGGCCATTGGGCAGCCGATGATGGGAGTACTGCAGGCAAGAGATTCTCCCTTCACTGCGAAGTTGTCTGCCTGCACGTGAGCATTGGCAAACCATGTCGTCTAACGGTCCGCAACCACTGCCTTCACGAGCCAGTAGCCCAACATCTTCTGGTAGAAAGTGTTTGGCACCCACGTGATCTCCCCACCTCGCCACAATAGCAAGCAAAACTCAACGTCCCACGCTTATAGGGTTCCCCGTGGAATGAAGTTAAGCATGCACATTTTCCGAAGCCAAACCATGCACCAAGATCAGGCAACGGCACTGAAGAGCGACTTGTCGTAGCCACCCAAAGTCAGCTTGGAGCCGTCACAGCTCTCGGATCCGCCGTGGCCGCTCGGGGGCCTCCGAAAAGGCGGGGGGACGGGCTTCGGCTCTTCTCTGGAGGAGCTCTGCCTGTTCTGTACTATGTCACTATGTCCCTTTGCACATATTAGTACGAAGTCCAGTACAAAAGAGCCACATAAGCATCGCCGACGGTTCTTGGCTTCTTCGTCAACGCAGAAACACTCCTTGGAAAGGCCGACCCGCTGCCGTTGGCCCTGAACTGGCCGGACGGTGTTTGCTTTTTGCCGTGCTGGTTCGGCACCGACCGATTCAGGGCAGCATGTCTTGGTTGTGGCTTCTATTTCAGCCGGCTCGGCAGCAATCGCAGACGACCCAAGCTGCAGACAGTACGTCGCCATTCCCCGGATGTGGCTGGTTTGAATGAGCGGTGAAGGATCTGGACCTAGTGTTTAGCTTGACAAGAGATTGTCCAAATTTTACGGATGGGGATCTCGACATGCACGCCCTTGCTCAACTACCGAGTCGACCGTCACATGTGTGCAATCGATACAACCACCATCGACAGCTGTGGTCGTGTCAGACGCAACCCCGATCCCGGACGAGTTCCTGCATCTTCTGCAGCGGTCTCGGGCCCACAGCACCCTAGTGCCAAAAACCCTCACAGCTATCCGCAGTCCAAATCTACGATTTTACGTCACTATCCGTTGAGCCTAGGCCTAGGAAGGTCGGCCCTCGGGGCGAGGTGTCCCGAGCTGCCAGTACACCGGACAAGACGAGCGTTATCCTTCCTACTTTTCACAATGCACGATGATGGTCATCAGAGTTGGTCTCTCCTATCGACATCGACAGCCGAACTTCCGATGGTCATCATGAACCCACGAACTCGCACCATCGGAGGGAGCCATCGCTGCATGTGAGGATGTCATCTAATGAAATAACGGGGACAAGCTTTTTCCACGAAACCATCTGAGGTGTGATCGTCGGAAATCTCGAAACCCAAGGGCCGTTCTAGCGGTGCCTCATATGTAGCGGTGGGTCATATGCAGTCTCCTATTACTAGGCGCAATAGACGCAGAGAATGCAAAGTACTGCCGGGTAGCAGCTGGGGGAACTGAAAAACGTGATGGAACCTGCAGGTGGACAGGAAGAAGGAGAACATCCCCTGCTTGACCAGCTTGTTCTTCCTGTGGCAGGAGCTGTAGGTCAGATCAGAATGCGCTCTCTGCGCACTTTGCAAGTCCGAGTGTCATCATCACGTCGAAGGGCGGGAGCACTGGATTGTTCGGATCTGCTGGCATGGCAATCTGCGGATAGGCAAGGCCAAGGATTCCATCGAAGGGGCTCTCCACCTGACAATCTTTGCCGATGGCTGAAAGGCCGTGGATTTCCAGTGCTGTCTGAGCACCCAGATCTGCCCCGGCTCCAGTACGATTGAACCCACGGTGGCATTGCTCAAATCCTGAGCTGCAACTGCAGGCGGATGCAGGCGGAGACATGAAGTGCAGCCCGCCCAAAGCGAAGCTCCGACATTGCAAAGTGTCAATGCCGCCCACATTCACGTTGTCCGCGATCAAGGTCCCGGCGCACACCTGATGAGTGCACAATGACTCTCGGCTCCTTTCGGTTTTCGAGGACCGTGCTGCGGAAAACATGAGAAGCCGTTCTTGCCCAGATGCTCCCGACCCATAAGGCAAGATCAACTTGCGCCCGTCCGGCTGGTATCTCGGATGAAACAGACCGTGGGACTGCAGCTGCTTGAATCATACCACATGCAAGAGAGCGGCGTGCTGGACTTGCTGGCATCATAACGGTTGTGCGTGCTGCAGGATTTCTTGGCTTTCAATAGGTTCGCATGGTGCGTCTACGACATCACGACAGCGGCCCTCGCGACAACAGGAAAGGTCAGGTCCAGCTTCTGAGATGCACTTCGCACTCGGCACCCAGAGGTTTGAGGAGCCAGTGTCGTAAATCACCTCAGCCACGTGGCGTTAAGCATGCACGGAATCGAGCCGCTAGTTGCATCACATGTTGCGGTGCTTAAGCGCTGCCGTGATGTAAGCACAACTTATGAATGCATCGTCGTACATAAAAGCAAAGAAGCCCTGCTTCGCCTTAACGCGAAGTTGTTGCACCTGCAAACCCTTCTTTCCCACATGCTGGATGGGCAATGCGACTACATGAAGCTACCGACAGCCGGTGCTGCAAGCTTGGAGGAGTTGTATTGACCCTGCAGACCCTTGTTTATTCCGAAAGGCCGTGAACTGCTGCCCAGGCGTTCCGATGGACACGGGTCCATAGTATTCCGAGTCCTGCACGGGTAAATGATATCCATGCCCGACTTTCCGCCAAGTCTGCTTTGAAATACAGACATTTCCAGCCTGGTAGTCCTTGATCTGGACGTATGGCAGCACATTACCTGATCAAGATCAAAACCCATAAACAGCCAAGGCATCCGCAGAGATGGGTGTTCACATGCTGGGCTAAGTGCACAAGCCATGCATGCCTTGGTCACGTGATTGGCAGAAGGAAAGCTTGGACTCCTGCAGCATTTCCTGGAAACTCGATAAACTAGTTGCGCTGGATGCTGTTTCAACATCTGTCTCGTCTACTGATCTGCTCAAGCATTCGATGAGGAACTGTTCCGAGCTAAATACTCTCGATTTCTATCTTTCAACGAAGTTTTTGTTCCTCACCAGCTTTCAGAACTGCTGATGATGATCGTTCCTGCTGCAATTTCATGATCAGAAAGGTCAAATAAAGCATAGAACTGCAAAGACTGTACTGAACAGGCGAAAAGTCGTTGCAGATGCCCTATCCTTGTGAAGACAGCAACCCAGCAGAATCACTGCGGAGCTGGGTGAAAAACCCACGTGTGCGTAAACACCGAACAATAAAAGAGGGTAACAACAAAAGTGCACACAACAACCACATGAAGGGAATGCACGTCCAAAGATCCACGGTAGCCACATGTAGCCACGACGGACACCAGACAGCAATCTGAAACCCACCACTAAGACAACAACGGATGCTACCTCCAAACACGTTATTTGACGATTCGACTGCACTTGTGGAAACGCAAATCCAGAAGCCCCAAAACCACTCAAGACCGTCTGCAAAACACCCAAGTCCCAAAGCATCCTTCACTCTCAAGACGGAACGCAGCACCCATAACTAATGGCCCATAACCACACATGCCTTCGCTCTCGGCTCGCAGGTGCTGCCAGTGCCGACGAAGGCTTCGAATCCCCGCGGCAGTCCTGACATTCGAGGTTGGAGGACTTTTGGGGTCGAAGCTGGAAACAGTTGGTCTGTGAGCTCAAAGCTAGTACATCTAGATACAGATAGATCATCTTTGGCGGCCGAATGCGTAGCTTTCAAGCTGCCACAGCATGACACCAAAACTTGGCCCACATGCACAGATGAACAGCACGACTGAAACAGGTACTCTGCTACATTGCCCTCAAACACGGAATCGACTTTGTGCTCAAAATGCCATCTTGCTGCTACACCGCTACACACTTAAACTATAGACCATCATCACACGTTTGGCGCCCGCGCGGTACCGTAGCACGCCCTCTAGGTCAATGAGCAATGAGTGAGACGGAGGCCTAATGCAAACGTGGTGAAAGCGATCGCTGTAGAAAGTCTTGGTTAGCGTAGTCGGAGAAGTCTGCTCCAAGTGCAGTGGGATCACTCCAAGTTCAGTGTCTCATATGGCAACACCTCCTTGCCCGGCCCTTGGCAACACCACTGCCCTTTGGGACCGGAGTAGAAGAACCAAGGATGTCCTCCATCTTCATACTCTTCCCAATGCTCTCCAGGTGGTGGCGATGGTGGCTCCGGTGCTGACTCCGGCTCATCTCCATAGTCCGGCGCCGGCTCGGCCTTCACCGGTGTAGGTGCCACCGGCTTCGGTGCCTTCCTCTCGGTCCTCTCTTGGAAGGATGGATGCGACGGAGGCGGAGGCAAAGGCGCCTTCTTGGGGATCGGGCGCACTGGATGAAAGGCTTCGGTGGAGCTGCTAGGAGCACTGCCACCACGTGCACCGCGGCTTGGCACCCCGTCATCAACTTCTGGCCCAGGCCTTGCCCGAGACCGCGGGGCATCCGAGGACAAGTTTCGCCATCTCGAGCCCTGATGAGACCTTTCCGATCTCCCTGCCCTGCCACGGTCAAAGTGCTGGCCCCTCTTCGGCATGACGCGGATGACGGTATCTTCGCGCTCCTGCTCGATCTGGAATCGCAGCTGCACTTGGTCCTCATGGAACATGTGGACCCTCACTGCATGCAGAATTTCTTGACGTGAAACGCCTTCGCGATGACCCCAAGTCTCCATCAAGCCCGTCAGGGAGAAAGAGCCTTGGTCGCAGACCCGGAGACCAGGGGGCCGGTTGGTCGGATAGCGTCCGAAGGAAGCCAACATCTTCGAAATCCATCGCGTCCGACCCGACTCGCTCAGCAGAGACCGAGGAGGAGGACTTCGGCTTCTCTCTCGTCGGCCGGGGCCGCCCCGCCGCATGGCAAGGCGAAGCGAGGCGCGATATTTTTAGCAGAAGTCAGAAGAAGCGAAAAAAGATCAAAATGAAACAATTCTGCCGAAGGTCTCTTGAAGGGTGTTGCATTGAGGGGCAACGAGTCTGTTCACTGCTGCCGGGTAGCTACGCTCTCCACACATACACTGAGGCGGGAGCTTGGGTGAGTTTCATTCTGCGAAGCTCATGTTTCGATTTCACGGATTTCGGATTTGCCGCTAGCAGCTGCCAGGATCTGGCCGAAAGTAACACGAACCATGTGTATTTCTGCAAAATCTTTCTACAAAATCCTACGCGCAGCTTTACGGCTTGGTGCTTATGCTGTACTTCCACTCTTGCAGAGCGACGCATAAAGATGTCACCACTTGGCTTGAGGCAGAAATGCGCCGTGCAAACAACATCTTTGCGACATCCTTCAGGCGGTATCCGGGATAGCGAGCTTCGGATGTTATCCGAAGCGATATCTAAGCATTTCTAGGTCTAAACTAGAGACCGGCTGGGCTGCAAGCCTGAGAGCAAGCTCCGCGGTCAGACAGAATATTTGTCCATGCTTCCACTTATATCGAGATGCTGGGGCCGCGTATCAGAGGCAAGGCAACGTGCTGCATTCTTGCGGACATTGGGATGTAAATACTGCGAGACACTTGGTTGGTCTCCTTCAATGGGATTTTAGAATACGTGAGATTGCAAAGCCAACTAAACGAGCTCCTTGCACTACTAGTCATGCACACGAACTGCACCACCAGACTGCTGCAGTCCTCGGCTTGCGAACCAACGGCACGTGAACTTCGTCGGCCAGCCCACAAGCCTGTCACAAGTCTAGGACTAGGATGTATCGCCTGCATTTGGGTCAGTGATTGATGCGCACTCTAGTAATCTAGTAATTACAGTCTCAGTCTGTAGTCTGTGTCAGCTCTTTGCTGGAGTCCATACAGTAGATTGCAATCACTCACGGCCGGCCAGCAGAGCCGCAGCAACCGCGCGGCGAAGCGTCATGGCTCTTTCGCACTCTTGTGATGAGGGAGGACGACGCAGTGGGCCAGCAACTGTGGACAATCCAGCACACCATCAGTCACAAGCCTCGCAAGCACACGTGCTCATCTACTCAATCAACCGTCGGCCATGCCCCAGGATCCCTCGTCGGCTGAAAGCTTCTCAGATGCTCAGGCTGCCTCATCATCCGGACGACTGCTGTGTTGGAGTGGCTGTCGAGGAATCTGGGCAGTGCCACGAATTCATTCGGGAACCTTTGCATACCTTTGCGCTGCCATGTTCAAAGCCTCTACACCATCTCGAGTGGAGTGCAAGTCGAATGAGCCCATGTATCCATCGACTGAGTCCGAAGCGAGAAACCCTTGCGCATCAACTGTGGCCTTCAGAGTCGTCGAATCGCCGCAGCACAGACAGATCTTTCAAACTGTGATACAGGAGTCGATCTCTCGCTGTCCTGGCCTCGTTGCCACTGACCTGAAGCAGGCTGCTTATGAAAACTGCAATACTTGTAGCTCCGGTTACGTTCCCAACGGCCCAGCGGCCCTGTTCTAGCGGAAGTACCTCAAGGCCTGGCGCCAACGGTTCCTACTGATGCCCTGGCAAATCACATTGCGTGTTTTCGTCAATTGAACTCAAACGGAATACGACAGTCGGGCTGCTACACCAAGAGTCACATTTCCATTCCGTGAGTCTAAGGTCTGCCAAACGATGCCCTTACATGCATCCCAGCGGCGTGGAATCCGACGATGCTGCGGTTTTCCTTGAGCCCTTCGGCGAGGTGACGGCCTCGGGCTGCAAGGTCTGGGCGGCCATGCAGGGCCATGCTGCTTTGACGTGGAGCTCAGCTTAGCCGAGGCACAGCAAGCCAGGGAGAGATCGCAGCGCGAGATGTCCAAATGCCTGCAGCGAGCGACAAAACTCGGAACTTTGGGCTTGCTGGCTGGAGCGAAGCTGGGCGGAGAGGAACCGGAAGAGAGGGAGGAGGACGTGCAGTGTCAGTTGATCGGCATAGTCGGCATCGACCTGAGCACCGCAGTCTCCCGGAAGTATTTCACCAGCATCTGGCAGGTCTCCTGCGCTTCAACGACTCTGTCTGCTTCCCTAGCAACCTCGTCCCCTGAGACGAACTCACCGCTAGGAGCCTCTGCACCGGACTTGCCCAGCGGGTTCCAGGACAGATTCACATAGCGCAACCTCCTGCAATTCGTTGCGGATCCATCATGTTGATTTTGTTCATGTCTTGTGTCAGAAAGGCTAAGCATCCAGCCCACCACTCTTCTCATTATCCATGATGCCTTGAATGAGAGCCACAGCTCCCTCGCCTGAGCCAAGAATACCATCGCAGTCGTGAGGCATCATGCCACTCTCCCCTTTGAGCATGCCGCCGGTGAAGTGATTCCAGTGGAGATCCAACTCCTCTAGATAGTTGAAGCCTGCAGCTCGGGCACATGACGAGCCAGAGCCAACGTCCTGTCCTCCCAGACCCTGAAGGCCGGGCTCCACACGCTTTAGCAGAGGCTGAAATGCAGCGCCGACGCTGATCGCGTTGCAGCTGACGTCGATCCTGACAACGGATTCCCGAATTGCGATTGCGGTGCTAGCTGCCTCGAGAGCCATGCCGAGCCTTGTGAGCGATCTGCAGCGGACCAGGTCGTTAAGAAGCTCCAGGCAGGTGTCTGGCACACGGAGCACACGGCAAAATCGAGCGACTAGCGACTATACTAATTACCACGGCAGAGGTATGCTCCACATGACATTTTTGAACGGATGCCTTACAAACACCTTGGACACCGCCTCAGCTACTTGCTGTTGCGAACCGCCTCGGTTGCTGCTTTGTCACATGTCCTGTCACTGAGTGTTGCCTGCTGCTCTGCTTGTTCTTTGGCACATGGCCTCTGGCAGAGGATCTTCCAGAGTATGGGATCTGCCAGAGTGCACCGTGCTGAAGCCGGAAAGGTAAGATAGCCAAGCGGCTGTCCGTGATCTGACAGTCAGACAAGGTCAGGCCTGCAAGCGCAGTACTTGTAGCAGTCTCATCCCATCTTGCACCCTGTGACCCTGTGCCAATCTGCGCCATGTAGCCGCACAGGCGAGCAGGCTCCGACTGCTGAGGGGCGGACTCCGTAGCTTGTTCAAACGTCGGAACGATCGGCACCAGCCTGCGGGCAACATTTGTGACAGCGTCCCGGCAGCGCCAGCGCCATGGTCTCTGAAAGCACTTGGCCCTTGGCCTGTGCCATGATCCAAGTCGTTCTGCGACAGGTCCACGCTCTCCAACTGGTCGAGAACTCGAGAAGTGCAGCAGCGGAAAGCAGAGCCCGTGAGCCCGTCGGAGGCTCCCTGGAGAGGCCCTTGGCCCCTGCCTCGGAGGGCAGCGCCTCCAAGAGCTGCCTCTGGCGACGCGAGGGGCCGAGGACACCCGAAATGCTTCAGGCCTTTCGCATTTCGAGTTCCGAAGTCGGGGAGATTAGGAGGGGCAGCGAAGACGTCTTTCGATTGACAACTTGTCCCAGCTCAGTTTTGTGTTGGGTGCGCTCCACTGCAGTTCCAAGGACTATTGGAGGTTTAAAAAAAGCTCCCGAGCAGCCAAAACTTCACATCACTAGACTCACGAGACCTTGCTCAGTTCGGTGCCCGCCTACACAGCGAATGTGCTTGCTTAATTCATGTGCGTGAATGCACTGCAGCAGAGGCACCCAGCACCGAAGTCGCTGAGACCGTTGGCGCGGAAGCGCGCCTGCCATGAGACGGGCAGGTGAGTTGGAACAACCCTCCTATGCAGAGTGATCTGGCAAGGAATCAGAACGATCCCGATCCTGCCAAGAAGGCCATGTTGAAGCCCTTAACCGCTGAGCGGCAGGCTGGCAGGATCCGAAACACATCAAATTTCTCGGCCTCGCGTATCTCTGCCGATGACGCCTGCTCCAAGACTGTCGGCGAGTGTGATTCATGCCACTTGTGGGAAGTCGTGCGCCCGCCGCGGTTTCAATTCAAATCCCGGACACCTGCTTTCGTCCGCAAGCCTTGAGGGTGTCATTCATGGCTTCGGCGCGCTCATCTGTCAGAAAGCCGTACCTGAGCCGCTGATGCGCTCAGCCGACATGCCGCTCCGGTTAATTACAAGGCAGCATAGCTGAGAAAGCCTCACACCTGCAAACCCGGTCTGGGATGGTAGCAAGCCCAAGCTGCTTTCAGCCTTCAAACGAGGCTGGCACTCTAGTTGCAGCTTTTCCTCGCCCTGGGCACGGACGATGCCGGTGGTTGCCGGATGCAGCCTCCCCGCTGCATGAGTCCAAGTTGTACAGTGGAGTTAGGGGGAGGACCGGAGCCGGCCTAACTCGACGGCACTGGTTCACCAAGTCCTGCATTGCTCTGTCGTGCCTTCGGAAGTCTTGAGCAGGAGCTGCCCACGAGAAACTGTGCCGCCCAGCCTGTCCAACTGCTTCAAGGGTGCCTGCACCTGCAGGAGCAGCGTCTGCAATATGCAACAGACACTGTCCGCACTGCCTCCGTCAGGCCGTCCAACAGCGTTATGGACTTCTGCACCCAATCCTGGCAGCCACAGGCACAGGGCACACGGAGGTGGCAGTGTTGATCATCAGACATTTGACTTGCTCAGTTCTCCTGCGGATCGTTGTTCGTCGTTATCCTGACGAAGACTCTGAGCACTGGTTTGCAAAGTCTTGCTCACGTTGGCGGCCGGAAACTGGGCTCCTGGTGGGCACCGGCTCGGGAAGCCGCGGCGAGCCCGGCAGCCGGACCTTCGACGCTCGGAGAGGCAAAGGCTGACCCTTCCTTGACCAAAATCTTGAGCAGAAATTTCTGAGCCATGCGATCCCTCCAACCCAGCCTCCTGGACCTTTGCGGCCACGGCAGCCAGCTTCGACTCCCGAGCGGTCACAGGAGACAAGGCCCTCACCCGCCTGCGGCATTCGGAGGCTGCAGGAAGGAACTTCAACTGCAAAGTGCGAGGTGGCGATCCTTGCCTGGGGAACTCCACCGACCTGTCTGCCCTGAGGCAGCTGTCGAAGAAGCGCGCCTCACATGGCACATGGCATGGCAAGCGATGAGCGCCTCTGAACAGCTTTGCGATGCTCTCGATCGTAGAAGAGAGACTTCATAGTTGCAGTATGCTGGTGAGGCTGTGAGGCATGGCAGGAAAGCCTTCCGTAAGCCGAGGCCCAGATCAACAGAAGGCCTGGCAGGCAAAGGTCGAAATAAGCTACTGTAATTCGCTGGTGGTGCAAAGTCAAGAGCGCTGGTTCTGAAACTCGAGGAAGAGCGTGCATGATCAGTGCTCTTTTTGCCAGCGGCCAGAGGTTTTGGCTGTGGAGGGAACCTTCGCCACCAAAAGAATCACAAATCAGAGCGAGGGCGGCCGAAACGCCTCCGAGCCAAGGCCGGCGTGCGCGCAGGCTGCTGCGAACACGATCGTCAAGCTCGGTCGATGCGAGAAGCCGTCCAGGGTCACGTGGCGTCTTGCATCGCCTCGAAGAAGTTCTTGAAGTGGGGGACGCTGCTCCGCCAGGTCGAGATTCGGCCAGTCATCGAGCCAGTTGCTCATGAACTGCACTCTGGATCACTGATTTCGCGAGAGCCGCGCTTCAGGGAGATATAGAAGACCTTGCACCGACAACTTGCCACTGCCAGCACCTAGCTCTAGCCTGGCACCCAGCTTGGCTGAACATGCGAAATGCGGCATGCATCGCTGAGAAAACCAGCCAGTCCCGGATGCAGGTAAGCTGCCCAGATCAGGCCGATGGACGAAAGGAATGGCACTCGCCAAATAGCCGGCAGTGCCTTCGAGGAACAGGTGTTTGATCGAACTCGGAAGTTGAAGCGAAGAGAAGCTGTGGCGAACCCTGGGAGGCAGAATGGGGACCTAGCCGCATCAAAAAGAAGCAGAGCGCCGACCGGAAAGCTCAAGATGAGGACTCAGACACACAAACAGTGCACACAACCGCTCGAGCTTGAAGCTGCAAGCCGGACTGATAAGGAAACTCTATTGGAAGACTCGCTGCCAGAAACCCCTATCAAAAACGGAGCGTTGCAATGAACTTCCCCCAGAAGGAACCGATAGAACACACGGCAAATCTGCGCAGTTCAAGATTGGTGTAGAGATGAGAACAAACACCAAACCCAAGAGCGATGACTGAACATTAAGGTGGCTAAAGGTGCCAACGGGCCGCCATGACTAGCAAGTCCCAAGCCTGTTAAGTTCTGCACGCCCCAAACCAACAAGGAATTTTCTGCTGCTTCATCCATTTATGAACAACTCTGCAAGATGTCGCTGCAGGCAAACCTGTCTTCCGTTGCGGACCCACAGAAAGCTTGATGTATAACAAGCCAGCCATGAAAAGGGGCGGCACACCTTTATACCCCGGTGATCCGGGATGCAGTTCTATGATTCTGATTGAGACTCATCCCGACCCGTAACATCGGCTGCTTGGCGGCCAGGTCGCCGTGAACATGACCTCGGTTTCATGCGGTCCCAAGCCGCTTTGATTATCACACCATTGTTGTTTGGAACTTGCAACGGCTTGCTGACTGTCGCTGTCCGGAAGTGAAGGGCAAGTGACCACTTGATGCGATCTGAACAGCAGAATGAGATGGAAGTGCTGGTCCCATACAGCAAATTGACATGCCGCCGGCACTTCACAGCCGCTACCATGTCAAGCGGCAACATCGGAGGTCACGAGCAATGGGGCGGCTGCCCTGCACGGGGGCGTAAAGCCAGAGAGAGAGATCAACACCGTCTGATTCCCGATGGTCAGAGAGTCAGCCTCATGTCTATGGGCGCATGCTCCGACCAGTATGCATAGGAAGCAGATGCCAAGGATCGGCAGCTGCCGTGCCTCGACCACGCAGCCAGACTGCACATGCAGTATGCGGCCCTTCTTTGGAAGACATTGTTTCTAGCCGTTCAGCAGAGGCCAAATGTTGTCCCGATTTCATCCATGGCAGCCTGTTGTAAATTGCTTCTCGGAAGGTGTAGAAGCATGGCAAGTAAACCAGGGGCATGAAGACAAGCGCGTCCTGGGCCAGAGGACAAACAAATGCTAGCTTCGACTGCCATCGGTACATCATCCAATAGAGGTGCAGGTTGGTCGCCAAATCTTCATGAAAGCCTTGACCTACGCTTAAAGTCTGACTGTGGGAACTCAAAGGCTCCACGCCGATCATGGCAGCCACCATTCTCCACCGCCCCTCCTCGGATGCGCGAGATCCGAAAGCAACTGGGCGTTTTGGAGCCCTCCATTCCGTTCATGAAGTTCCGCGACGATCTTTTGATGGAATCCGAAAGCGATGCGCAGAGCACTGGATCCCTCGGCGAGGCAGACAGGCCGCGACGAGCTTGCTCAAAACCCTGGTGGGAAACTCTGCCTCAAAGCACCACGGAGGAAGGGACTCGGAGGCACCGGACTTTCATCCTACTCTGAGATGCACCGAACAATCAAGGCATCCAAGGCACGTAGAAAAGGTAGGCTGGAGCACCCATGACTGCTCCGAAAGAACCGAAGAGGCAGCTACGTCTCCAGTCGTGCTCTCGCCTCTCCAGGAGCCGCTGCGTGAGCCCATCGCCCAGCACGTAGCGGCCGGCCAAGGAGCCTTGGAGAACGAGCTTTGGCTCTCGACAGTGGAAGCTCCTCCGCGGCACCGCGGCTTGAGCCGCGGCTTGAGCCGCTGGCCGCTGGCGTAGGCCAGGCCGCGCCAGGGAAGGGCCATGACGAAAGCGCGGAGGGACGCGGCTGCGCAGCTGCGTGCAAAGGAAGACTTGCGAGCGTGTGCTGGACTGCTTCCGGGATGCCATCTGCATGGCGTGCCTCGCTTCTCCGTGCCAAAGGACTTCGGCTGTCTGTGGATGACAAACCATGCTCAGGACTGGTGGGCAGGACAGCACTGCGCCTGCAGCCTGCAACAATGCCAGCAACACGGCTCATCGTCAACTCGCTCCACCTGCCGACAGGCGAGGCAGGCAATGCTGCAGGGTGCATCGCAGCTCAAGAACCATGCAGGGTCATGTGATTGTCAGGTGTCATGCAGCATGCAGGCCAGGTTTCGGCTCCTGTCCACATGCAGCTCATGCAACAAGTGCCTCCGTCAGCAGCGTCTTCAGGGTCGGCGACAACGCAGCCCGAGGCCTTACCTGAGATGGAAAGAATGATTTGAATAAGACCGGATGGAACGAGACATGACAGCAAGACCATACCCATGCTGCATATGACACATGGTCAGGCCCTGCTAACCGCCGCAGGTCGATATACTTTGCACAGCCGAGCCGCGTCGGCGCCTTGTACCAGAGATGCTAAGAGACACTCAGAGAAACAGGCAGCAAGCAGCGCCACGGAGACACGCACTGCCGGCTCACGTGGCCTGCTGCCACTTGCTCATACTTCTCGAACCTGCAGCGATGCAAAAGCTGTTGGGCTTACTCGTTTTGCCTCGCTGAATGACAGATTTCACGAGGTGAACTAGCCGCAAGCCGATGCCTCTTTTCAACTTCGTCGAAAAGCTCTGGAGGCTTCAAGCCTGGGCAGCGCTAGGTTTCTTTTGCAGGAGGGCGACGGTCCGTCGCAAGAGCGCTGCTTCGCCAAGTTGTGACCGGCTGCCGACAAATCTGGGGGTGGGGACGATGGCGCCGCTGCAGAAAGCGGTTCCAGCCCTGCTCTCCTGCAGGACATTGGACTTTCATGGTTCGTAACAACGGCTGATGCAGCTAGATTCCCCCGAACAAAAGGCCGCCTGTGCCCGTGTTCGAGCCGTCCCGGCCAGCCCTCTGCCTGCCAAAAGCTGTGCAACATGGCAGCACATCCTCGCAGATTTGAGGAAGCAACGAGATTTCGAAAAGAGAGATGCAGCGGCTGACACGATCAGCCAACGTGCCAAGTATCGATGCAAAGCACGGTCTGAAACAGGAAAGAGACCAAGGGCGAACGATAAAACAGAACCTGCTGGACCCTTGCAGGAACGCCATCCATTTGCAGCATCTGTGTTGTCTGCCGACCATCGCATCCGGCAGCGACCTCTTCCACAAGTACTCAGATGCTGAAAACTTACAAGGAACCTACCTATGTCAATCCGAGAGAAGTCGAGCAATCAAGAAAAACGATAAGAAGAGACACAGAGGGCGCGAAACAGTGAGAGATTTGGCCAGATGAACGGCCGGTGTTGAGACGGCATTGGCTTGTTAATGTACCCATCACGACTTGTCGTAACTGCTGCAGGGCCGCGCCAAAGAGTCGTAAGCAAGAAGAAAGAAGCCAACTTCGAAGAGCAGTCACGTTGAACGTGGCTTGGCCCAGCTCTTGAGGCAGACGCCGTTCTTCATCAGACCTAAAGTGCAGGTAGCCCAACATGACTCCCGGTGTCGATGTGCCTCTGCCGAGGAGGGCTCGCCATCAGCCCTGGCAGCCAAGTAACATTATCCACATTCATACACAGCCCAGCCATATCGATCGCTCGGCCAAAAGAATTATGTAATTCAGCAATGTCACCCATCTTGCATGAACGACGTGCACCGATTAACCAGGAGGGTGCATTTCCCATCATCATCGTCATCATCATCGTCGTCATCGTCATATCATCATTTTTATCATCGTCGTCACCATCGTCATCATTATCATCACCACCTTGAAGTTGAAAGCCCAGAGAAGACCGTCAGTTTTTATGCAGGTCTAGGGGTTCGGGTTCCTTGCTCGCAGGCTTGGGTTGATGTTCGTCTACCTAGCCAAAACCGCAGGATACACGCATATGTCATATGTCAACATGGTATGAGGTGTCGTTTTTGACGAGGGAGATGCTTGCCTTCGTCAGTGATTGAAAAAGGTAGGTAGAGAACCGCTACGTACAAACCATTGCATACAAGGGCCTTTCAAACTTCAAACTGCCAAACACAATCATCGCATCGTCCGGTTTGTCAAGGTGTGTTGCATGCCACTTGTTGCTTTCATACAAGGCCATCAAAACTGAATCGAAACCGTCTCTACGCATCCAGGGCCTGCTGGCGCCCTGCTCTGGTAGCCATGGCTCAGGAAAGGGGTCGACTTCAAAGTTTAAGCAATTCGGCTTTCCAAGCAGAAGCCGAACCAATCTGAAGGTGCCCGCGGCAAGAATATGTCGACACAACAATGTGGGATGCCATAATGGGCCATAATCCCGAATCGTTTGGGCATGTCTGGTTTGCATCTCGGTAACTCTCGCTGGAGAACATGAGACAGAACGGCACACGGGTGACGTTTCGCAGGGAACATTATCTTGATGGAACCAGAAACCTTTCTAGCTTTTCAGACGTATTCAGCACAGGTGAGCCAACGGCTTGTGCATGATAAAACTGGTTGTCATGCTTTATCCTAAACCTATATCCAACTACAGGCATGCCCCACTAGCGCTTTGCTAACTTGCACGCACTGCAACGGAGCGTGACCAACAAATTCTGTTTTTGAGGCAAAAGCCGAAACAAAATTTGGTTTGTCCGGCCTGAAAACAACCATGCCAAAATAGCTCAATCTCCGAAGGCCATACTTGCAAAAAACTCGCTTCCAAACACCGCAACCTAGGTCTGGAGCTGCTCCCCCGTGTGCCCACCTTGCTTGAACAAAACCTAATGAAGGTTGCTGGACAGTTCATTATGAGCGCACAGCACTCACTGCGGCTGCAGTGGCAATCCCTCGCGATCTTCATGACAGAATTCTGGACAACGGAACTTTTTCCCAACCCATCGCACGAACATGCGCCGTACCAGAGCTCAGCAGAAGGCACGGTCCTGCGAACCTGACACTGCTGAATGATTCGGGAAGGTTTCGTGGCATTCGGGAAATGCCAGATTGCGGTGGTGCCGTGTCTTAGACTACAAGAAAAATCAGAATTTCCGGATCGAGCATGGTCTTCTGCAGAGAGCACCGCAGCTCGGCTCTAATATGACGCCACACCCTACAAGCGGATGTACGCACGAACATGCACAGCATGGTTGTTACACAGGCTAATGCCCTTGAGGATTTTGAAGGTTTTGGGGATGTGGGGCCTTTTCTGCAACCGAAAATCAGCTTGAAACTGCCGGAGCGGTCGAACCAGTCTCAAAAACTCGGCTCCAACTTCTCGTTGCTGCATATGGACGGAGCAGCATAAAGCCACGGCTCGCTTCGTTCTACGAGGCTCACAGCACTCGGAAAAGCAGCGTTATTTGTTCACTCGTCCTCTGGACTGCAGATCCCTTTGCACATACCGCTTGTTGCTTGCAGTCATGTCAGACACGTCACTGCTTGATAGCGCTTGCGTGTTTAAATTTTCCGCGAAATCCGTAAAAAGATGTCCGGATGCGACTTAGTCAATGTCCTGATCTTTTCAGTGGTGGCGTTCTTGAAACGGAATAAAGGAGCCACCCTTTCAGCTTCCACACTTACTGTAACTTGTGATTGTGGCCCTGATGATACCACCGCTTAGTCAATGCCCTGATCCTTTCAGTAACGGTGGTGCGGAATTCGAATATGCACTCTTTGAGCTTCCACAACTACTGCAGCTTGGCATGGATCCTTACGTTCCCAGCATCCCATAAGCACTGTTTATGAAAGCATGGGATTAGTGGTCGTGGGGCTTGGGTTTATGGCTTCTGATATTTCGAATTGAAGGGTTCAGGGTTTGGGTGTAAGGGATTGGGATGTTGGGATGAACGCCGTTTGTGTTTTGTTCGTGCCAACCTCATGTCAAAAACCCCGCATAGTTGCAGAATCCAATTCCCCGAATTACAGCCCCCTCCCTTATTTGCCCAAGCGCCCGCAATCTGAAAGATATCAACGCGCCTGTTTACCAGGGGGTGATGACAAGCTCTGTCGGGCAGGTGGCCGGCTACCAACACCAATTTCATGTGGAATTTGCCGTGCCCGGTGAAAACTCTCGACTCGTGGATTCAGAACGAACCACCACGTAGCCTGGAGGTGGCTCGAAAATCCGGGCAAACCCATGCCAACTCACCCCAACTTGACAGTCGCCCTCTCGTTCCGGCCCGAGATGCTGGAGTCGAAGGTTGCCGTAATGATTCCTCGGACATTCATGAGTGACGCATGGGCCTCCCTGAAAACTGCAAAAGATCTCAAGCCGTCTGCCATTTGATTGCTTGTCAGCCAGAGGGCACGCATCACGCATCCAAGTGTTGAACGGCAGGTCTTTGACTCTTTGACGGCATCCAGGAAGGATCTCACCTCAGCAATCGCTTATAGAACATGCCACCAGCCCCCCCATGCCCAACTTGCAGAATCCAAGTGGCCAATAGCGGAAGCTAATGAGACTTCCTTCCTAGCAGACTTGCCGGGCATGGTTACATTGTAGCTTGTGAAACAGTCGCACCTGGGCAACACCGTCGAGATGTTTCTCCGCGGGACGTGCAGCAGTTCGCCGGATTCGGCGGCTATGGGTACCACGATGTAGCCTGGAGGTGGCTCGAAAATGCGGGCAAACCCATGCCAACTCACCCCAACGTGACAGTCGCCCTCTCGTTCCGGCCCGAGATGCTCGAGTCGAACACTGCAGTGATGAATCCTCGGACATTCATGAGTGACGCCTGGGCCTCCCTGAAAACTGCCAAAGATCTCAAGCCGTCTGCCTGAAGTTTCATCCCAGGCAAGAGCACGTCGTTCTACGTGAACTGTTTCAAGCGAAGCTTCGCGGCATCTTGTAGCCGTGCTCTGTGTTTCGGGGCTCATGCTGCTACCGCTACGGGTACACCCGCTTGTTTGTTGCTGCTGAAGCCGAAGGGCGCCTTACTGGAAAGCCTCTTTGGAATTGCGCCTGGGCCTTTGATGCCTTTGGCACAGCAGGTCGGGGCCTGCAACGCTACATCAACCCGCTCAGGTGGAAACAGGATTTGCTGGCATTCGAACAGCTCCTACAGCGGCTTACGGTATGAGTTGACGGCCCCGAAATGCACTGAAGCTGCAGGTGACCCACTACCAACACCAAGCTGACCAGGAGTGGAGTTTGCGGTGCCCGGTGACATCTTTTCGACTCGTGGATTCAATTCGACCTAGAGCACGAGTGCTGGAGGATTGCCAGTTGCTGTTCGGTCATTGTGCGAAGATCTGTTGCTCAACCCGTGCTGTAAACAAAAAGCATGGCCACGTGGTCCGGACCTGGCACCATTCACTACAGTTCCAAAGTCAGCCGCCAGGTTTTTGTCCTACTCCAGGCAGAACACAAATCCGAAGAGGGAGACCAAGATGGACAGACACTGATCAACAGGAGCCATTACCAGCGCCTCCTGCTGTCAAGGATTCCACTTAGATTAAAGATGGTCATGCCAAGGAGCCAAGGCAGGCTCTTTGGATTGTGTCGTGACGGCGTAAGGCTTTTAGGCTTTTCGGTGGTTAGGGTCGAGGGCTTCAGAAGGTTTGGTCTGAGGGTTTACACAAATTTGCTTAAGGAAATGAGTTTCGCTGTGCGACATTGTGCGGCCAGCCGCCAAACCCGCAAATCGTGAAACAGCTAACTAAAGCTTGCAAAGCTGCCTGAAAGAATAAAGCCTTGGACAAACCTTGATCAAAACTCAGAACAAATAGTTTTCGGTGCCCCGCCCTCGCCCCCCCTCCCCGTCTACGATAGCATCCGACAGCGTTTTAGACAGGGATTTTTAGCCCCACCCACTCCCCCCTACAAATCCCCTCCCGCCTCCCTGCGGCTGCGGGACACCCCAAAGCGACGCTCAGTGCGCAGGATTCAGAGACAATGCAACCACCAGGACCACTAGGATCAAGACCTTGTGCGAAAAACAAAAGCAAAGACTACAGAAGATGCACAGTCACAGCAGACAAAGAACGCGTCCTTGGAAATCTGCACATTTTCCCCTTCGCCACCTCGTCAAGCCCACAGCGTTGCATTTTATTCTGTATTGCTGTGCGAGTTCCGGCCTAGGCCTGGTGGCGTGACTTCCCAAACGTTGTTGTCTTTGGATGCCATCGCCACATCCTTCCGGGCGGAACGAACGATTGCATGAATATGAGTTGGAGCAAGTGGTCAAAGTGCTCAACGCGTCCTTGGCATACAATTGTTGGCCACGCAGGACTGCTTTGAAGGTAACGACGTCGCCTTCGGAGATTTTCTTTCTTCCGCCAGGGCTGTGGCGTAGGAATACCTTGGAAGGGCATGCTGCTCGAAGCTGACCCGTCGGCGGGCTTCGTTGTCTCAACTCTGGCTGTGAAGCGACCCCTATATGGCTATGAAGCCTCTTGTTTCCGATATCATGTCGTCGTTGTGTCGGTTAGGCTCTCCATCGCAGTACCTTGTAACCTCGTCTTGCAACTGCCAAATCTCGAGAATATCGATGCCCAGCAGCATCTTGCTCGAAGCCTTGCTGCTTCAGCACATCACACTCAATGAAGCCGAAGCCTTTGTCCTGCCCAGTTTCGATCCGAGGCTGAGCACATGCGCACTACACCATGAAGGACGCAGAAGCGCATGAAATCAAAACGTGTGCTCTTTTGTGACGACGTAACGGGAGATTGCAGTGTTTGCAGTCATGCCCTGGCCATGGCCTGATGGATGTTCTTGATCCTTCCGGTGCACATGGACACAGATCAGCAAGAGCCTGTACCGGTAGCCTCGTGTTGTCAAGCATTCCATTTTAAGATGCTTATGCCAAGGAGCCGAGCTTTGCAGGCTGAACCACCGTAAATGGTGGCGGAAAAGCCCATAGTCACCACCTCCGCAAAAATCCACAACTTTGCATTCATTCTGAATTGCTTTGCGCGGATTTACGGGCTCCGGCCTAGGTGCAGTGATGCGCAAGGCAGCGGAACCATCATCTTGCGTTGAAGCCTCATGTCCTCAAGTTTGAATCTAATGGAAAATGTTCATGCTGCTTCCCAGCCCAACGGACCTATGTCTCGTATGCTGGAGATATATTGATACATCTTCGATGAAATTACCGGTGCGCCGTACGTGGTGTTAGCGACACGGTCTGTTGATCTAAAGAAGCTGTGCCGCAAATAAGCCCGCATCTATAGATCCATAAACTGGAAACTCTGGCCTCGCCAAACATCCCAAGGTTCATAGACCAATAGCTAACAAACTCTGGGCCTCGAAACAGCCTTGAGCTTTGTTTACAGGCCAAACCAATTCTGGACTGTCTACCGAGCAGTTTACAGATCCATAAACTAAGGAGGCAGGAGCGAAGCAGAGAGAAAGAGACATGAAAAGAACACGAGCGAGGATCCCTTAGTCAACGGCGAAGGGCCCTGCCAGAGGCGCCTTGAAGAAGCATGCCGCACGTCTGCACAGTGCTGCCATCCGACTTGTCGTGTGGAGCACCGAGATCGGTCAGCATAAGCTGACTGCTTGAACAGTCTGTTTGTTTTCATTGTTCTCTTGTTTGCCGCTTCGTGGACTTATCCCGAGCAGTGCGGGTGCTCTAGCTATGAATCGGGCCATGAACTTACCGCGTTTATATGAGGACAATGAGGTCTGTGGGTTATTGCTGTAATCTACTTACTTTTTTCCGAACGCATGCTCACGAATCAGTTGAATGTTCTGACATGCTCTGAATAGCCTTGCTTCGCTCCGTTCTGTTGATGCGTCCAGCTCCTAGGGCTGAGATTTTGGATTGATGTCTTGCTTGCCTGATCTTCTGCATGCTGCGGGGTTGTCCAGACCCTGAGCTAAAGGCAGATGCTTGCAAGCATCCTTCCTCTGAGTGTTGCCTCTCGTGTGACACGGCGAGAAGTCCTGAGCAGTCGTCCTTTTCATTTCTCGGCAATAAGCGGGTCAAGGATTGCCAAGGTTATCAGCAGTGCCTCTTCGGTGCCTCGGACCGCAGATAACAGTGAGGCAAGGTTTGCGGCTCGATCATTCCCAACAATGCTAACATATCGTAACACCTCAGTGTCGCCTCAGAACCGATGCTCCTATGAGTATGACTCGAAAGAAACCAGATCCTCAGACAGCCGAGTATCGAATTGTCCGAGACTTCTGACGTGGGCACACGTTGACATATCGGCTGAACAGAGACACAGGGTCTGTGTCAGCCTGGTAGCCACTCTTTGCATCAGCAAGCACCTGCAAAGGCATCCCACAATCCAACACTTCCAACCCGCTTGTGGAGGTGGGCACCTCTTCAAATCCACCCAGGCCACCGAAAGCCAGCAGCAAATGCCTGGCAAGCGAGGAAGCGAGAAACTCCGGTCACTTAAATCGACGCGAATGCTCTGACCCTTTGGCCTGAATTTTGGCAATCGCCCCAACCCCAGTGACTCGCCCCGCTCAGAGGTGCCAATCGAAAGGTCGTAACCTCCATCCCAGGGGCATTCCTCGGTGCTGAACGCGCATGAAGCAGCGTCTGGAAAGAAGTGAGAAGCATCTTCCGAGCTCCGGTCATCGAAGACAGCTTTCAGGCTGCCGGCCAACCTCTTAAGAGAGACTTCGAACTTCGACTTTCGTCGTCTCATGCATTCGGCACAGGCTCTCTGCACTTCGACGGGGGCCTTGTTTGGAAGCCCCAGTAGAGTCCCAGCTGCTCTCGAGGCTCCTGGGGGTCCACCGCCCGTCCTGCCAGTGGGCCACGGCCAGAGCACCGCGCTTTCGGAGTCGGAGGCCCCGAGGCCCCCCTCGAGCCTCGCCGCGCGGCGCCGCCGCGGCCTCCTCCTCCGCCACGGCCTCCGCCACGGCCGCGGCCGCGGCTCGAGAGCTCCTCGTCACGCACGCTCGTTGAATTCATGTCATGGGGGCGGGCTTTCATCTCAGACGCGTCCTCATCCAGGCGGACCGTGACCCTCACGTCTGTAGCGATTTCTGAGCCTCCCATGATTGAGAAATACTGAGACTGAGAGAAGCCTCCCGTGAGATGGAACGGGCCTGCCACCCACACGGGGTCTTCCAAACCGCAGTTTACCCAGCAACCTAAGCAAGGAATCTGCAGAATGCAAGCTCTCACACACTGCGCGGGTGAAGTTTGATAAAGCTTGTGCCGCCGGGGGCTTCTTGTTTCCCCCTCTCCCTTCTTGGAAATGCGGTATATCCAACAACTGCCGACTCCTACCGAAATGTGCGGCCAGCCACAGCTAAGGAAAGCTCAGCTGCGGTGTTCGCGAAGGACGGCACGTTCCCTTTGACCCTCTGGATGGATAAACTGTGAAACGGTTCATTGGCCAAGCAGCCCTTTTGCTCATCCTCGTCGCCGTCTGTTTGAGGGCGGTTCATCTGCTTCTTTAGCACAACTCCTGCGCGGAGCAATCTGGCGGTCTGGCCACGCAACTCTGTCTATGCTACTACATCTTCCACGGGCACAGAAAGTAATCTTGTCGAAGCTTACAGCAAGAGCCGTTGAGGTTGGCTGCTCCTTCTCGGTATGGAAGGTTCTCATATTTGCGCAGGTGATGCGGTGCATCCAGCGGGGCGAGCAAGCCCACCCACTTGAGGTCCTGTGGGAGGCACTGGTGAGATTTCGGTGAGGTGAGATGGTATGCAGCTTGGCAATGTGCCTCATATCAGGAAAGAAGCCTGCAAAGCAAACGAAAGGAAGAAATTTTGCATCTGCATTCGTTCTCCTTGTTGCTTGACAAAATGCAACGGAGTCCTTGTGATGAGGTACCAGCTGCTTTCTCAAGTACTGGGGAGTCTCCAGGTACTGCAGGTTCCGCGCGAAGAATGCCATGCTATTGGACACGCCGTCCTGACACTTGGGCAATCAGCGTCTTGCTGAAGCGGAATCTGCTGTCAGCACACGCACGCGTGCACATGCAATGCATGCTTCCTCTTCGCTCTCCACAGCATCTGTGCGATCCTCGAAGATCACCACCTTGACTGCGGCCAGTGCATTGGTGGCTGTTTCTGTACTCCCCGGAGCCTCGTCGACGCCGTAGATGGTCAGGGCTCGCGCAATCTGCCCGACAAGGACTGCCTTCAACTCGCCACCTTGCGCGTTTTCCTCAGGAAGTCTTTGGCGTGCTCTCCTCACGGACTTTACACGTACCGGATGACGTAGGCACGGGCTGCCAAGTCTCCACAATGCTGGCGGGTAGTGCGACAGACATCGTAGTGTGCCGGCCGGACTTTGGCCTCGGGCTGTGCTACAAAGTCAAGTCATTTTCCCAAAGGCATTTCTTCTCGAAATCGGTTTGAACCCAAAGCCCTTGGCATACTTTTCGATGCAGTAGGTGTGAGCAGCACAAGTTTGCTTGCTGCTTGGCTGGTCGGCTTGCTTATAACGGTCTCTGCACAGTCGCCTGTTCGTCTTGCTCTGCCTCTCAGACAGCGGATGTAACATACTCCTTCACAAGTTGTACAGGACCGGAACTTCGCAGCAGAGCGGTGTGGTCAGCTCCGGTAGCTGCCACGCTCAGGGTACTGAAAGTTCGAGAAGCTCTGTTCACTGTTGCAGTGAAAGTGCAAAGTGGCGGCAGGAAACCTGGTTACCGACGAAGGCAACAACAGAAAGACTAATTCCCATGTGGACGGCAACAACAGCAACACACATGTTGCAATGTTGCTGTCCTGTGGATAGGGCAGGATGCAAATGACGCTGCCGAAACAGAAAGGATTGAAAGCCAAAATGGCCAAAGCCCTTGACTAATGCAAAACGATGTATGCCCTGCTATCGTTATCTGTTCCCGAATTCCTCTCAGACATTGACTTGAGCATCTGCACAGCGCTGGGCTTGGATGTTGCACCACGGCCTGTGGACCAGGCGTGGGCTTTCACTTTTGGGAGCCATTCCGAAGACTCTGAAGGAGGCTCTTTGCGACGGAAATATGTGGGCAGAATGCATCACGATACCAAGGCACTTCGAGCGTATTACTCAGGCATCGACTACGTGCACCTCCAGCAGAAATCTACGAGTACCGCAGTTGTCAGCTCCACGGCCTGGGCCGGTCTTCGGCTGGCCGCCTGCCTCCTCTGCCCTCTGCCGCCGTGGGCCCTCCTCCGGCTCCTGTTCCTCCACATCCTGCTTCTCCTGCTTCCGCTTCTTGCCTCCCATGGCTCCACAAGTTGACGACTATGGAATTTACTGACCGCTGCCTTTAGCACGCTGGATACTGTCAACTGTGTCAAAACACAAGTCATCCGTCATAGCCACTAGTCAGTAGGACACCATAGGTCCCTGTGCATCTCTGGCGTCTAAACTGTGTGGCTTGTAGCTATGTGAAGCCATTCTGCTGCGAATTCGTGTAAGCAGGGTGCAGAAGTTGCACGCACCAGACACATTTTTTCGGTGGTTGCGTTGTGTATTGCTTTGACCTTGATCCACTGCTGGAATACACCTCATGAAAATGTACAGCACCTCATCGTTTTTGCATTCTGACCCCAACCCTATGATTTAATGGACCCTACTATGCCCCTCAAGTGCGGACATGGGGGACAGTGGCAAGTTCGGCTGGGCACATCACTCGGTGCTCGGAATTGGGTACAACAGCGCTTGCATGCTCGCCCCAGCACAACGGAACATCTTGGATAGCTCAGCGACCTGCCAATAGAACGACCGAGGCGAATTTCACTGCTTTCTGCTCTGCATTGCTCTGCCTTGCTTGGCAGGTGTGCCTTGCAAAAGCCTTTTTCATTGTATGCCTTCGCCAGGTCAATGCCGCCGCACATATTTAAGCCACGTCAGGCCTCTGTTCAGCCAACGTGTGCAATTGTCGAAGCCGGGCATCCAGCCACAGGTGTGAGACGGTAAACGAACTGCTTGAGGGCTTCGTAGCTGGACCACCATAGCAGCATTGCTGCTCAGGGCTCAGCCGCTACGAGGCTAAACTTTGCTTATGACGAATTCTGACGGCTCAGGCCTTGGATTTCACGGATTCGTGCCTGGGCCAAGCCAACTTCAGAACTTATCCCAAGACATGAACCTATTCCAATCACCATCTATCACAGTTTCGGAATACCTACAGATCTGAAGCCCAAGAGCAAGAGACCTGAAAGCTTGGGAGCCCAACCAGATTGGCGCGCCGGCCACGCAAATGGGCTGCGCCTTCCCCACGGTCGCGGAGCTGCCTGTGTGCATCGTTGCTCGGCGGGCAAAGTCGCAGCTAATGCGCAAGTGAAAATCGAGGCCAGACCTGTCTGCATCACGTGGCTGCCATTTCCAACCTGGAAGCTCAGTGGCATTGGCCCTCCATAAATACCGTAAGACGTAGGCAGAAGAGTAGAGCTTGAAACAAAGCGAAAGTTGGGTTCTGTCTTGCGGGTTTCGGGGTGCCACTGTGCTGAGTTCCTGGCGTATGGGCGGTGCTACCTGTCACACTCCCAGGCACATGCCACACACTCAGAAAAGCGCAAAAAGCACGCACGTATGTATGCATGCACGCATGTACGCAAAAATGCCCGTCCGTCTGTCGGTCTTTTTCTGTCGGTTGGTCTATCTCTGTCTGTCTCTGTCTGTCTTTGTCTGTCTCTGTCTGTGTCCCTGTCTGTCTCTGTCTGTCTGTCTGTCTGTCTGTCTGTCTGTCTGTCTCTCTGTCTCTCTGTCTCTCTGTCTCTCTGTCTCTCTGTCTCTCTGTCTTGCTTGCTTGCAGGGCGTATGGGGCATGGGGTCGGTCCCCACAACCCCCGCGCGCGAGCGCAACGCCTGTGGTCTGTGTCCGGTGTGAAACTGGTTATTGACCCACAAGCTGTTTGGCACTTTCAGACTCACGTCAGGCCCTTGCCCTTCAACCCCGAACCTCCCCGTTAACCGCGCGCCTCTCTGTCTCTCTGTCTCTCTGTCTCTCTCTGTCTCTCTGTCTCTCTGTCTCTCTGTCTCTCTGTCTGCCTCTGTCTGCCTCTGTCTGCCTCTGTCTGCCTCTGTCTGCCTCTGTCTGTCTGTCTGTCTGTCCGTCCGTCCGTCTGTCCGCATGTATATGTGTTATGTGTGTATGTATGCTCTGCATGTATGTATGAAGAAACATGCATCAAGTAACAGAAGCGCAGTGAGAGAAAGGAAAGAAAGGGACCACGGACTGCGAAACAGGATCAAATGAATGGTCAACCAGAGAGGCAGAGAGAGCAAGAGAGAGAAGCACAAGGGTGAATAGTCAAGTGCAAACGGATGTTGGATGAACGCAAGACTGTTACAGCTTTATCCTGTTTTTCCTGCAGAAGCTGCCTTGCTAAAAAGACGGTGGGAAACTGCTGGAGCAGGGCCTGCATCTCAGCGCCGCTCCATCGCCGGCTGCTCGCTGCACCTGGGCAAGAGTCCATAAATACTTTACCATATTATACTACATCATAGTATACTATATTATATTTCATCATCGTATTATTACAGTCTATTACGCTATATGGTTCTTTCTCATCGAATGTTGCATGTTTCAATCGGAATTGGCCTTGGCCTTGGCCTTCTGAATGCAAACCAGGCGGCCCAAGCTTCCGGGCGACCTGGAGCTCAAAGGAGGCAAAGGATTAGGGCCGGCCATGAGGGCACGATAGGGCCGATAGGGATTGCAGGGAAGGACTTCGAGCCGTAGAGCTGAAGGGTGTCTCTGTACTCCCTGAAGCTCCCTGAAGTCTCAAGCCACGAAAACCTTCGTCACTTGACAGCAGCACCCTGGGAACGCAGCGGCGTGCGCGTCGAGGCGGAGGAGGATGGCAAGGAGACCACGAGGCTGGGCGATGTGGCGCCCGAAATGGGCCTGGCCTCGTAACTGAAACGAGACATGTGCCTGTTACCCGAATACTGTCGAATTCAAAGCAGACCGCGGCGGTCTCAGCAGGCCTCCCCAGTGCGATCGGAGCCATCCGCGCCTCCAAGCCGGAATAGCGGAAGCCGACGAACAAACAAACGAATTTCAGAGAGAGCGAGAGAGAGGAAAGACGGACAGAAAGTCACAAGATTCACAAGCGGACCTCGCAGGGATGGATAGCCACGCTCCTACGAAGGCCATCGAGGCATTGCCTTCAGTGATGAAATTGCTCTGATCGGTCCTGGACCTGCGCCAGCTCAAGGGACCTGAGCACGTCGACTTCAAGAACGATGTGCTTTTTCACGGCTTGCAGTCCGGCTTCAGGACTTCTGGCTCAGCCATCGCATGCCATCACTCTGCGGATTCTCATCTCTGCTGGGACTCGATCTTTCCAAGCCCGCAAGCTCGGCTCCCCGCGGCGTCGCGTGGGCGCGGGCTGCTCGGAGTTCACCAGGCAAGCCCTGCAAGGGCACTCGGACTTCGACAGTCCAAGGACGCAAGGCCGTCTCCTGGCCTGGATGTGCGGATGGGGTCTTTGCGTCCCTGGCGCCCTGGCATTCTGGCATTCGATTCGACAGTAAGTGTCCGACTGCTAGTAAAACTTTCGTTTGGACTATGATGGAGTTGACGATTTGAAGATAAGGACACGATCAAGGATGCGCCTTGTGCCTAAACGACTGGTGCATCTCCAACCACTCTTCATGCACTTCAAAGAACTGCAGGCTCTGCGACGGCTTTCTGCGGCCTCGGAGGTCTCTCGATCGGCGGTGGTGCCAGATTCATCTCAGGGGCGGAGGAAGCTGTTCAAACATGTGGATTCCAACGTCTCTACGTCTCCGCCCCCAAGGCCTCATGCTGCAGCCCCGGCATGCCACAGGTGCGAACCGACGAGGCTTAAGTAGGCGTGCTCTTTCAGCCTTGTATCTATGACTCTATATGGCTCAAACCAAGGACGTGCTCAACCACAAATTTGCACGTCGGGCAGAATCAGTCGTAGGCGCACATGGGGCTAAAGTCTCACTGGATGGTGGAGCTCGAGACTCATGGCTGTTGATTGATATCAAACCTGGCAATGCAACGGAAGCAGCAGAAGCAGACACGGCACACTTCTTCAATCATTGAACCACCCTTGACTGCGAACCGCCCGGAACAAGACACATCCCCAATCAGTCAGACCCCTAAACATGGCGACGCCTTTAACAATCCCCAACTTCATGCTCCCTCTTCCGACACGAGCAAACCAAGCTTTTGTCAGATGGAACCGCTGCTTTGAAACGGATGGGGCACCAGGAAGGTCTCACCATCTTGCGGACTGCCCCAAAAGAAAAGCATTACCGTCCCAATCCCGCACTGAGAGTCAAATGTTCCAGAACGATGGACGGAACCCTGGGACCAAGGCATCCACCTGACCGTTAAGCTGTCAATGCACGTTTCGATGCTTCTATTGGATCGCTGACCTCTCTGCGAGCTCCTACGACTGACGGTGCGCCTCTCAAGCTTCACGCTTCGTCCATGCTCTGTCGCAATAGAAGCGCATGTGCAAAGGACGTCTCCTTCAAAGCAGCAGCAACCAAGGTTCAAACATGCCTGCAGAAGCATGCGTGCAGCAATTTGGCCCGCAGATGTTGCTTTTTATCTCTCGGAGAAGCCCTTGCCATCTTGCCAACTCCCTGTTGGAGCAGTTCCCGGACTCTCTCGATAAAAGCTTGTTTCATCCAACGCCTGCTGTACACGTCATGTTTGGGCACCACGTGGTCATTGCCGTCTTGCCCTGAGCACCACTACATTGCAACCAAATCATCGTCGTTCACGCGAGTGATATGGCCTTGTTTCGGGGTGTTTGCCAACCCCTACCCGCTCCGCGTGCAGGGGCATACAGGTGTCTCTGTTCGATGCCGCTATGGTGCGGCGCCACTCGGGAGCTCAGGGCAACGGCTGTAGGATCCGGGAATGTCTCACTGAAGCACGACGCCTCAAAGCGAGTTTCGGTTTCAAACCCCGGTTCAAACTTAGAACGACTGCACCTCGCACGGCATAACTTTAAAAGATGTTTGTGACCGTTATCTGAGCCCTGCCGTGTGTGCCATGAATGTATAATGAGGTGCTGCTTTAAGTGTTGCATGGCAAAGCTTTGGCCTGCAAAATGCGCGGGACTCTACATGCGGTTTCAATCAGCATCGAATCATCGGCATTGCTCGAGTCATCTTGAAACCGGGAAAGATTCCTGGCATTTCTGCTTGTCTCCAAATAAAGGCTAGCCTTACACCGTCTAATCGATCTCCTCCTTCTGCCTGCGAAGACTGGACAACAAGCGCCCAGGCAACGAAACCTGTGACGATTTTAACATCCATAAGGTGGCACGTGACTACGCACAGCATGAATCTTTACAGCGAAGCGACAGTCCAGAAGCAAAGGCAAGTATTCAAGAGCAACATCGTTGACAACAGCACAGGCTCTGAATAGGTGTATTGCTCCAGAATTCATCCTCTTGCCTTCGCACTGCGAGCTGTCTGCGTGCAACTCAGTTTAATGCTCTCAAGCGGGGTCCGAACTCAAATGCTGGGGCCTCGTGCTCTGGGGCAAAGCCAATCTGCTGGCATCGAGGGCACTTATGGCCACCCGCCTGTCCTCTGCCCGTCTCGCCGAAAGTCCAAGAGAAGAATCAAAAGAAGTGCGCTGCGTTCAATGCAGCTCGTGTGCAGCTCGTCGAGCCGGGCAATGGCAGTGTCGCAACAATGGTTTACGCATGCAATAATGACCATGCACGGCCCGTGCTACCCACGCGGGGTGAAGTTGAGCTCGCATGCACAATCGGCCCCCTTACCTGATCCGGGATGCAAGACACGAAGGGCATCGCATCCCAAAGCCATTCTGTGCAAGTGCGTAACTTTGACAAAATGGGACGCTTCTGCACTTCCGGACATCATCCTGCTGAGAAGCATCACAATCCTCGGTCCGTCGATCACCAGAGTTGGCATGTAAGGGGAACATGAAGGCTTCGTCACACAGCACTCGTGGACGTTGTGTCAGAGGACATTTCACCTTGACGTCGCCTGTGCATGAATCCTTTGTGCTCAGTGCATTTCACGCGACAGCGTGCCACTGAAGGCCAAGGCACGATCTGGGAGGCTGCATTCACAAAACACACCTTTGTACTTGCCTCAGGCAGCGACAACACATCTGCTGCTCCACAGACCACGGCATTCTGCTAGAGTCCTAGACTGTCCGACTGTCCCAGACCTTTTTCTCCAAATACTGAGTGCTCATCATCCCGGTAGAAGTTTGTAGGTTACCCTGTTCTCGTAACTGCACACACGTAGTACGTGAGCAAGGGAAACGACTGAAAGCACAGGAGCAAGGCAAGTGGCAGGGCCTGGAAACGACAAGTTGCAGAGAATCTCAGGAAAGAACCAGCAGCCTCATTTAGAATCCGCATCAGGCCTGCTTTGTCGCCCGGGCAGCCGCGAGTGGCACCATACCCTGGTGGTCAGACTTCTACTCCTTGGGTTGATGTTTATTTACACAGCACAGATCAGATACATGCTTCTTAGAACTAGGTCTCCAGGCAGACAGGCAGCCAGACAGGCAGGCAGATTGGCAGACTGGCAGACTGACAGACTGATAGACTGACGTGTGTGTGTATGCATACAGCTATATACGATGGACATGCTCGCACACGCGACCCGCCCAGCCATGATCCGAACCACCTGTCTTTTGTAACACAGAAGTTGGCAAAGTCTAGCAAAGGCTACAATCCCAATGAACGGTTGACTGTTGAGACACTAAATCGCAAATGACGAACACTAACCAAGATGGAGCACAACTAATGGCTAAGCTGAAGTCAAATGCTGACATGCAGAATTCACCATGGCGAGGTAGAAAAATGAAATATTTGTAGTACAGTATCGATTGCAGCGTATTCGGTTCCTATCCGAACAGCACGTCCCAGAATTCCAAACGAACAAGACCTAGTACTTCCAGAACTGCAAGATTCCGTCATCCCAAAAGCACAAATGCAAGCTGTGGCAGTGCGGAATGATGGGTTTTCAGGCATGAGCAGTTTGAATTATGGAATTTGAACTTTTGGATTTATAGAACTGTGGATGGTAAAAGAAACTAGGTTCTTCGACTTCGGACTTATGGAGGTGCAGACATTCGTGATGCAAACCACGACAGGCCCGTACATATAAAAGTACATATACATGTACATATACATGCACATACGCATGTACATGTACATATACATATTCATAGTCATATTCATATACGTATATATGGAGAAAAAGAGAATGAAGTGGTGCACCACCTTAGGGAAACATATGCGTTTGCATATCTGCAGTGTATCAGCTATACACTAATACTGCTTGTTGTTGTCATGCGTTCTGCATGTCTGCTGCACTGCACACTATACAGCACTAGGGTACTATGGGTATTGGAGAATGTGACATTGCCTGGCATCACATCAACATCATGCGATTGTCAGCGTGTTGCACTGTGACATGCGAGACTTTGTTCGAGATGAAGGATGCGGCAAGATCACCATTCTCTTCACTCCCAGGCCTTCGCCGATAAGCCCGAACATCATGGGATTGCCTTGTAATTGCTTTGATTTTGGGCTGTTGGGTCGGCTTCGAAGCCTGTGGCCACTCTGATGAAACAATTTTCATATGATGCGAACAGGTCGGAGAGAACTTCTGGAACAATCCCGCACACTTCTGGCTGCAGCCGAATCTAACCATGACAACTCTCCCTCTGGTCCATCCCAGCTCTCCTGCGTAGACAGGTATTTCCCTTGTGAGCAAAGAGACGGACGGCAGGCCCGGCACCGCGGTGGCAGTAGGTATCACAGCTTGCGTTGTACTTCTGAACATAAGCCTCCTGGGCTCGAAAAGGGCTCACGCTTGCCGTGTTCTGTCGCATACGAGTGCCGGAGCTGCAAGCATGCTCACGATCCGAGAGCTTGCCATGTGGCAACCGAAATCCGTAGCCAGATCAAATCACTCCCCTAATCGCTCCCATGCCAGGCATCATTTTCCACAAGGACCATACCAGCAGAACACACGGCCACTAAGTCCGGCCACTGTTCGGTCTGGCGGGCCTCACAGGAGCACGAAACCGTCAGCGTTTTATAGCAGGCACAGCACAGACGAGATCTTGCTTCCGCTCGTGGGCACACACTCTCCGTCCCCTCACTTGTTTCGAAGTTGCCTTTGCCAAAGGGTGTGCAAAGGGCTGCTGGCAGCTCCAGCCTGCAGTCGAAGCTGCAGGGAGTTGCTGCGGAGACCACTCTACGACGCGGGATAGCAGGATATCGGACAGCATACATGACGCTTCGACTCCATGACTCTCTTCCAGTGTGTACCACCAGCCACTGTCTGCTCCATGGACTGAGCGTGCCATGACGATTCGAAGTCTTCCTAATGTTGCTTGTGACCGAGAACGCGAAAGAAACTGAACCGCAGGGACTATGGAGAAAGCCTCACACAGACTCCGAATGCTCTCGCAGTGCCTGTTCCAGGAGAGCAGCTCGCCCGGCAGTAAGATACCCCATCATGCTGCCTGAGCCGTGGCACAAAACCCGGGGCTGATGGCTGTCTTTCAGGCCCTACACAGCCCACCTGCAGCATTCCGCGGATGAACTTCCCGATGCAGCTTGACCCAGTTGTGGGACATGATCTCTTGAACGCACGTCTTCTACCCCTTGCAGACAAACGGCTGGAAGCATCGATCGAACATCTGTGCACAGCAGCCTGACTGCTGGCAGGATCTTCCAGACCTTGCGGCGAGGCAGTGGAGTGGAGGGACAACGCGAAGTTAAATCCATATTGCCACGGTGAATAACTTCTGATAACTTCCGAAGCGAGCTGTGAATCCCTGAAATCCGCCCAGAGGCATGGAGCAGCGTGGGCGGCCTGCGGCGCAAGAGGGGTCCGGGAAGCTGCTGAAATCGCAGCTGACACACTTCAGTACCGCGTAGCACCTTGTTCTGTCAGCCGCCGCATTGCCAAATCATCGTGGTGCCAGCAAAGCAGAGCTGCGACAGCTCCGAACACAAGCCTCGGGGCCGAGCTGGCTGAGCTAAGGCCCTAAACCCGAAACCTAACCATTGCCCAATGACTGGCACAAGTGGCTGAAAAGCTGGCAGTGAGCCCTCGGCGAAGAATGAAACCCACTGAAGCCCCAAACTTAGCTCAGACTTGCTGGCTGGCAACGCAGCAGCAGCGAGCACTGACAGTCGGTTCATGGTCCCGTGGCAGAACCTTGGTGGGCATTTCGTGTTGCTTTAAACCGGCTTCAACTCCCTGCACCCCGCTGTCACAGATACTTTGCTCATCCAACAAAGTAGGAAGATGACATTTGCTGCAGTTGCAAATGTGAAGAGGCCGCCGAAGCATCGTTGCTAGCACGTACAAAGCTTGGGTCTGGAAGGTCTGGTACCGAGCAGCAGGAACCCAGCACTCTCTGCTGCACAAGCGCGGCGTCGGCTGCGTCGGCTGCTTTGTGCACAATCGGCTGCGAGGAGCGAGCGGGCGCAGGCAAACGAAGTGGGAATGGAGGTGGGCCTCTGGGCCTATTCATCATATGCTGCGTGGACGGCCATCGCTCCTCTGACAGCAGCCAGGTGCGGATGGAATGGCAGTGGAGACCTCAGAACCCGGGGTAGGAGGGTGAAACACGTGCACAGTTCAAGGCCAGATGAGGGGCGGTAGTCCACCTTTCCCGTCTCTTTGGCGATCCTGTCAAGCATGCCCAAGAACACGGCTCGATGGAATCTCCATTCTGGTGGCAGCACTGTCGAATAAGGGTCAGAGACAGGAAGTCGGAACCCCAACAACAGATCTGCCATTGCTCTGCCTGTAGTCCTCGAAGATCTGCACGCCGTCCTTCTCCTGCGTTCGCGGATGCGCATTCCTGGCCAGGCAAAACAGGCCCTTCCCTGTCGTCGGCTCAGAGCTGGGGCGAGAAAAGAAGAAAGCACGGCAGCACATGTCGGTTAGGCCAGGGCATGGAGCCCAGAGACTCGCGGCCAGTGGCGCCGCCGATGAAGATCTGAGCAACTTGGAAGCTCTTTCCATCAAGACTTTGAGTCCTTCTGTGTGGGGGATCACTCAAAGCCACGGAGCACCGCCGGCCTGGCCTCCACATGCGAGATCCGCCCGGACGGCGCCCCTTCCACGTCGAGTTCCTCAATTGTCGAGCTTCTACAGCACTTGCCCTCAGGTTCCTTGGATCATGGAAACCACAGCCCTGCCTCGTGAAAGATGAGGTCCCCGGGTTCGCAGTCGGCTGGATCCTTGTGAAGCGGAAACCGCAGAGAGCAGACAGGGCCAATTGGAGCGACCGCTGCCTCAAAAGAGATGGGCAGCGTGGTGCGGCAGTGCCTCGGATTGCAGATTTGAAGAAATGACGTGACAGGCCCGCTACGCCGCATCTTACAACTGGCGAAGCTTCTTTTGCATGCGAGTATCACAGGCTTGCAGTTCGAGATCAGCAAGAAGCCAAACTCCTGATTGGGATTAGAATCTAAAGAGAATGGAAGGCATTGGAAGCCTGTCCTGCTTGAGGTCCTCGACCACCTTCAAGGGAGTTGAAGAAATCTCTCGGCTCTCCCTGACACTTACGTGTAGCACCATGGAAGACATCCCATTTCCATGACCCACCCGTACACGCACCTTCTGCACAAGTTGGATGTTATCCAAAAAGAGGGGTGCATCCTTGAGCTTGCTGCCAGGCTTGCACCTGGGGTTGGGATCATTTGGATTGAAAGTCGATCACCCAGAGCGAACTCTCACCCCCAACCCCCTGATCTCCCTAAGCGCAACACTTCGCACTGGCAGGATCGTGGTAGCTTCGGTGATAGGGGATGCCGACCTAGCCGGTTAGCCGTGCTGAGAAACACTTTCCGTCCGAGATACCAATGGCCGAGTCTCTTTGCAACCACTCTGGTGCGACCGAGCGGCGTATTTGAGCGCAGCATCCACAAACCTGCATCGGAAGAAGCACGAGTACTTCTTGACTCTTGGCAGAGACAATGCGACGGGCCAAAAGCTCCCATGCGCCTCTGCCGCAAGGCCTTGGCTGCCTCCGGGACCTGGCGCTGATAGGCCGCGTTCACCTGCCGGTTCATGTGAGAGCTGAGGCCTTCCTCTGCCTTCACAGAAGCTCTCCTCTCCTGCCTCGGCACAGTGGTGCTCGAGGGCCTTGCCGAAAGGCCACTGCGCCTGGGCCCGGAGTCACAGTCCCCTGGGCCTCGGCTGTCCCTCGTACCCATGCAGCTCTGAGGTTTCATTTGGCTGCACTGATTACAAGAAGAAAAGTCCTTTCCGAAATGCTGGATATAACAGTATGACGATCGGCGGGGTTTCACCTACTATCTTGGAGCTCCCTGACATCTGCGGAAGGAGGAGACTTTGCAGTATACTCTCTATCTCCAACATGTGCAACAGGGTCGAACTCATACAGCGGCACCTTTCCGATAAAGAGCAACCGTAGCAAAGTGTAGCTTGGGAGAGAGCCCAAGCGCATGGAAATTTCGATAGACCCATCACTTTCCAGTGTGGCCTTCTCCGCCTCGTCATCAGGAAGCCGCTCAATCAGCTGCGTCTTCAAGCCAACCTGGATGAAAATCACACGTCTCAGCCCATGCAATCCCAAACGACCAGGTGGCAGAAGCACCTGCGTGCCATCAATGAGAATGTAAGCCGCCGTGGGAACAGCCGCCTGCGACTCGGCTTGTCACAGGCCCTAACCACGAAAATATTCGACAAAGTCCATACTTCTGCTTCTGCTCACCCTGCCTTGTTGGCAGCACCAGCACCGATATCCTGTGCGGAGCAGTGCACAGTGCATGTGATCCGCCGACAACGTGGCCACAAAGTGACTGCTCATTGCTCCAGGACGGGACCACAGCCGACCTGCCTCGCCGTCCTCCGTCACACCTGAAGCCCATACTCTGCTCTACGGTCTTTCGCGTTTCTGATACAGCACGCAGAGGCACTTTGCACGTGTTGGGACCTAAGAGAGCCTCGACACAGCAAATTACACTGTGAATCGATGAACCCGCCGAGCGTGCAAGACCCACAGCTCCGTCGCACCTTTGGGCCAGCGCGGCCAGTTCATTGTCCTTGTAGCTTGGCATGACCCAGCAAACAAACCCGCAGTTAGGCGTGTCATATGGAACTCGGGAGGAAGAGAAGCCTTCAAGCTGCAGAAAGTGTCACTGAGCCGGGCTGAGCCCACAGCCAGCGAGCCCAGACCTCGTCGTCGTCCAAGCGGGCCCAGTGCCCAGCTTCGATCTCAGCGTTCGGCTTAAGCATGCTTCAGGCTGATGTTGGAGATTCGCTCCTCCTACTAGTAGTGCTTAACTAGCATCTCAAGAGTCCCTAGAAGTGTCAATGCCAACACTCTCGCCTGAAACATGCATTCAGTACATCCGGCAACATGTGATTTGCATGGCTTTGCTGCACAGCAAAGCCATGTTGAATGCTGTGGAGTCTTTGCCTCGGCTACACGGACCAGATCCCCAGGGCGGATTGTGTCCAAGACCTGCCGCCGATGCTGAAACAACTATCGCATCGGCTGGCTCAAGCCTTGGCCTCAGCGTTGGCCGCCGGTGCGGCGCGGATCGCAACCTGAGCTCGCACAAAGAGACGGCCCGAACACAATGAGATTTGCCGGCACCGTCATGCCAGTTCGGTTTCGTTCCATGTTGTGCTGAGACTCCCACGCGAGGGGCATGGATGCACCGATAGACTCCGGGCGAATGCTTGCCGGCAGCATTCGCCTCGTTGCGAGGGGTATGAGGGGGCTGCGCACTTGATGTCATGGGTCAGCATTTGCACGATCGCGCCTGGGGATAGACCCGATTGTCGTTCTCTTTGGCAGGCGCCTTACAAGTGCCGTGGCTAAAAACAGACTTGCACTGCAAGCGCGTTACGTTGTGTCGACTGTCGAATTCTGAAGTCACTTCTTTTCCTCCAGAACTCGGCGGTGCGATGTCCCGAAGACCTGTCATCAGGCGCAAGAGCGAAGCCCGCAGGGTTCGCGGGGTTTCCGGAGGCATGAGCACACTATGTCTGATAGTGGCAACTTTTTGCCAAAAGGGTCCCATGTCATCACTCTAGCCGGAATCGCGCCAGATCTATCCATCCCGTCATCGCTACCTTGCCTGACATTCGGTTTTTACAGAAACCGTGAACAACACCTTCGAGTGAATCTCCTAGCAGACACCTCTTCCCGTGCAGCCTTGAACGGGCACACATCACTTTAAGAACCCCAGACAAGGCAGAGGCAACCGGGCCCTCTCCACAGCAGCGCAGAGGCGAGGGTCCAAGTCCACAGGGTGCTGGAGCAGTCGCCTCTCACGGGAGCCCAGGACTTCAGGACTATGGTTGGCCAGTGCATCAGGCAAGTTTCACACAGACACAAGACACCGTTGATCTCTGCAGCTCAAAGCCTCCAAATCTCATCTGCAGTCCTCCTGCGACGCTTGGAGTTGGCATGGGGGAGCTGGCTAGGGCTTGGGCAAAGCCAACCTCTCGGACAGGACACATCACGTAACTGGTGGCGTTTCTCGCCGCTTCTTGCGGCTTGCTTCCGGTGGACAGGCTATACCACAATTTGAAGCGGCCTCTGCTGACCTTTGGCGCCGCTTCCACCTGGCAGTTGCCGAGCTGTCTTGAGAGAACGAGTCGGTGCTGAAGTCGTCCACCAGTACATGCCCGGTACTCATAGATTTGCAACCGCTGAATTCTTCTATTCTCAAGCGAGGTTTCTGAGATGGCTGTATTGCTTTGTAAAGCACGGGTCTAAACAATCTGAAACCAGCCAGGTCAGCAAGTCCAGCACTTCACACACACACACACACTCACACGCACACACACACACACACACACTTGACTCCAACTCAATTCGGACCCTTGTGTAGTTTAAGTTGAGTTCTACACTTTTCCTCCCAACAGATCGCGAAAAAGCAGTTTAACAAGGGCAATTCGGAAAAGACTCGACAAGCTCGGGTGAGAAAGCCATGCGCAACGGTGTCTCCAGTCAGCCCCTTAGATGTTTTGCTGTACTAGTTCCTCACTGTCCTTCGGAACAGGTCTGTGAAATGGTTATCATCCTCCAAGACAGCACTCCCGATCAGTGCAACAAGGCCAATCCGGCAACCATGCGACAAAGTTCAGCTGAGAGAATGCCATGCACAACGGTGTGTCGAGTCAGCCCCTTAGATGTTTTGCTGTTCTAGTTCCTCACTCTCTTTCGGAACAGGTCTGTGAAATCGTTCTCATCCTCCAAGGCAGCAGTGATCAGCAGTGCATCAAGGCCAATCCGACAACGATCAACAAGCTCAGCTGAGAAAGCCATGCACAACGATGTCTCCAGTCAGCCCCTTAGATGTTTTGCTGTACCAGTTCCTCACTCTCTTTCGGAACAGGTCTGTGAAATGGTTCTCATCCTCCAAGACTGCACTGCCCATCAGTGCCACAAGGCCAATCCGGCAAAGATTCGACAAGCTCGGCTGAGAAAGCCATGCACAACGATGTCTCCAGTCAGCCCCTTAGATGTTTTGCTGTACTAGTTCCTCACTGTCCTTCGGAACAGGTCTGTGAAATGGTTCTCATCCTTCAAGACAGCACTGCCCATCAGTGCAACAAGGACAATCCGGCAACCATGCAACAAGTTCAGCTGGGAGAATGCCATGCACAACGGTGTGTCGAGTCAGCCCCTTAGATGTTTTGCTGTACTAGTTCCTCACTCTCTTTCGGAACAGGTCTGTGAAATGGTTCTCATCCTGCAAGACAGCAGTGCTCACCAGTGCATCAAGGCCCATCCGGCAAAGATTCGACAAGCTCGGCTGAGAAAGCCATGCACAACGATGTCTCCAGTCAGCCCCTTAGATGTTTTGCTGTACTAGTTACTAGTTCCTCACTGTCCTTCGGAACAGGTCTGTGAAATGGTTCTCATCCTTCAAGACAGCACTGCCCATCAGTGCAACAAGGACAATCCGGCAACCATGCAACAAGTTCAGCTGGGAGAATGCCATGCATAACAGTGTGTCGAGTCAGCCCCTTAGATGTTTTGCCGTTCTAGTTCCCCACTTTCTTTCGGAACAGGTCTGTGACATGGTTCTCATCCTCCAAGGCAGCAGTGATCAGCAGTGCATCAAGGCCAATCCGACAACGATCAACAAGCTCAGGTGAGAAAGCCATGCACAACGGCGTCTCAAGTCAGCCCCTTAGATGTTTTGCTGTACTAGTTCCTCACTCTCTTTCGGAACAGGTCTGTGAAATGGTTCTCATCCTGCAAGACAGCAGTGCTCACCAGTGCATCAAGGCCCATCCGGCAAAGATTCGACAAGCTCGGCTGAGAAAGCCATGCACAACGATATCTCCAGTCAGCCCCTTAGATGTTTTGCTGTACTAGTTCCTCACTGTCCTTCGGAACAGGTCTGTGAAATGGTTCTCATCCTTCAAGACAGCACTGCCCATCAGTGCAACAAGGACAATCCGGCAACCATGCAACAAGTTCAGCTGGGAGAATGCCATGCACAACGGTGTGTCGAGTCAGCCCCTTAGATGTTTTGCTGTACTAGTTCCTCACTCTCTTTCGGAACAGGTCTGTGAAATGGTTCTCATCCTCCAAGGCAGCAGTGATCAGCAGTGCATCAAGGCCAATCCGACAACGATCAACAAGCTCAGCTGAGAAAGCCATGCACAACGATGTCTCCAGTCAGCCCCTTAGATGTTTTGCTGTACCAGTTCCTCACTCTCTTTCGGAACAGGTCTGTGAAATGGTTCTCATCCTCCAAGACTGCACTGCCCATCAGTGCCACAAGGCCAATCCGGCAAAGATTCGACAAGCTCAGCTGAGCAAGCCATGCACAACGGTGTCTCAAGTCAGCCCCTTAGATGTTTTGCTGTACTGGTTCCTCACTCTCTTTCGGAACAGGTCTGCGAAATGGTTCTCATCCTGCAAGACAGCACCGCTCAGCAGTGCATCAAGGCCAATCCGACAACGATCAACAAGCTCAGCTGACAAAGCCACGCACAACAGCGTCTCAAGTCAGCCCCTTGGATGTTTTGCAGCACGAGTACTGGCTCCAAACTCTCTTTCGAAGCAGGCCTGTGAAACGTTCGCAACGCGGCAACGATTCGACGAGCTCAGCTGAGCAGATTCCAATCGCGCAGTCCACTTTCCGGATTTTTCCCATAATCTTCAGCCTAGGCCTAAGCTTCCCGCAAGTGCTGAAGACGAGGCAGGATCACATGCTGCTAGCGCACTCGTGAAGGAGGCAGCTGTGGGAGCCAACTTCCGGGACGTCATTCCGTCCAACCTGAAGGAGCAGATGGCGGAAGTGCGGCCGTACTCAGCAGAGGGAGGGGTTCCCTCGGAAAGATCGCGAGGGCTGAAGCTTCTACTGTCGGTCATCGCAGCGAATGGAAACCTGTTCCCAAGCAAGTGGCCAGAAGAGGCATCGCTCCGCATCTCTAGCCTTCGGCAAGAACTGTTGAAAGGATATGAACCCATCAAGCACATCATATTTCGGACAAACGTGAGGGAGCCACGTGAAAGTATCATCGATTGACAGGGATGTCCAAGAACATGCGTGGGTTAACTGAGGCCCATGCCCTTGCCCAGGCCGTGATAACAGAGTTCCTGGCAGACTCTGGGACTTGCTAGCGAATCTCCAGGAGCTGCAACGGAATGCTATTGACTGCAGCAAGCAAACTGAAAGAGAAATCAAGCCACAATCGGACAGATCGCCGAAAAAAGAGCTCAATCAGAAAGACTTGGAAAGTTTCTGCGAGTTGTTGGCAAGTTCGCAATTATGTAGGAATGTCTGCTCAGGCCCAAGACCAACGGCACGGGCTCAGTATGGTTGAACTGCTGGTCCTAAAGTCTGGAAACATGTTGGGCACCGTTTGCCATGTTCCCAAAGTGGCTCTGGCCTCACTTCTTTATCAAGCCGGTAGTTGTCCGAGCCAATAGGAGTTTTTGAGATCGCAATGAATTCAAAAGCAGTGACAGCGAGGCCCTTACATTCCTTCGCACCTTCCTTCACATAGCCACAAAAAGTATGGAGTCTTGCCGAGTCACAGAATCACCACATCGGCCTTGAGGGTAGCTTCTGCGCGACGAAGCCAGCACTCAGCAACCTGTCGCGGGAGAGAAAAGGAATGCAGCAAAACCCCTCCTTGCTGGCTGACGAATCTAAGCACAAACCACAGTCATGTTCTAGATATTGCTCACAAACCACGACTCTCGCCATGCTCTCGCTCGCGAAGTCTAAGCGCCATCGGGAAGTTTTGCTTTCTCGGCTCGTGGCCTCGGCAGGCTGCCCGGCACGAGAGGCGGCGCGCACGAGCCCAGTGAAAGACTCCAGGCCGGGATCCAGGTGCAACGCCTGCAGAAATAGCAGGAGCAGGAGCAGGAACAGGAGCAGGGCAGTGAGATTCACAAGCAATGCCTGCGCGAAGAAACTCGGTGGTTTCTGTTTTGCAACTTGCTTCCCTCTATTTCGTGCATGCACGCGGGGCTCAGTTGCTATTCGTCATGATGTTCGATGTTCCGCTTGCGTGCCTCATCACCGGGGGCGGCAGCACCAACAGCATCACCGTCGCCACCGTCATCGTGATCACCAAATCCCAAGCCCTAAAAAGAAATTGTTGGTGAGCAGACCCCAAACCCCAACGGGAGATGTTGGTGAGCAACGCCCAAACCCTAGCAGAGATAACGAAGGCAAGAGCACCGTGTGCTTTGCGCGTGTGAGGAGCTCGACGTCCTCGGTGCCCATGGCAACGATGAGTCTCCCACCCGGGGCAACCCAAACACAAGGAGACGTTCGTGAGCAAAACCCGATCAAAAAATGGAGATGCTGGTAAGCAAGCCCTAAACCCTGAAAGGACGTGTTGGTGAGACCCAAAACCCCAAACGGGGGTGTTGGTGAGCAACCCCTAAACCCGAAAAGGAGATGTTGGTGAGCAAACCAACAATCTTTGCTTCGTGCATGCCCCCACCCAGACCGCCCTAGGCATGCACTCGGACAATCCTTTCTTTTGTAGCTGCTGAGACGGCGGTTTGTCCCTCAGACCTTCGTCGAGCCGCCGTGCCCATCGTGGGCTCAAAATCGATGCACTCCGATCTCCCCTCCAACGTCCCGGCCCCGCAGCATTCCTGCACTCGAGAACCACTGCGATCAGGGGGGGCAGGACGTAGGGGGAGACCCGCTTCCAAGATGCGGGGCGTGGGGCCAAATGCCCTCCGCCGCCCCTCAGCAGGATTCCCTGCGAGCGACCTCCGGTCGACTTTGCACCTGAGCGTCAAAGAGCTAGGCGCTAACGACGTGCCTACTTGGTTCACCGCGTCCTAGCACTACAGGAAAGTCGGCCTTATTTGTTTTCCCTGCTTCTGTACAGGTGCGTCCAGGCGATCATGCCCGGAAAGTTCAAGCCGGAGCTTGCGGGAAGCACTTCGGGCAGAGCCTGTGTCCGCCCGAGCGGCCCAATTCCACCCGCACCTCGCCTTCGACGTGGCCGGGTGGTTCAGATCTAGGGCCCGGGGAGCATGCAGAGTCCCCGTGAGCCCGTTCTTGATCTTCACGACCAAGTCTTCAGACTTCTGGGCCCTTCCCGCCCTCAGAAGCTCCTCGGCGCCCGGGGGGCCCGCGCTGGCCCCTACCGGGCCCCAAGACATGGGGCCTTCCTTCAGGGCGCGGGCAATGGTCTGCGAGGCCTTTGCTGTGCGCGCTATGGGCGCTCCCCGTAAGTAGCGCCTCATAGCGGCCTCGCTCTTCCACCGCCCCAGCGCCATCACCGCCTCGGCGTCCAGCCCGGCTGCGAACGCCACCACCGCACCGGTGACGCGCAGGCTGTGTGTGCCGAAGCGACGTCGTCCTCCCCCGTCCAGGGGGTCTTCACCAGCCTGCTCCGCGTAGCTCTCGACCACGCTCAGGCGATGCGCTGTTCCAGCTTCTTCCCGGCCCCCCACAAAGAGGGGGGCCCGCGAGGTAGGCCGACACCACCCGCAGCCCCTCCACGTTCAGGGCTCCGTCGGCCGACCGAGGCTTCAGCAGGCCTCGTGGTCGCGAGTCCTCCGCGAGCTTCGCCCGAAGCCCCCTCCTTTTCCTCCTTTCGGTCCCCCTGCCCCCCGATCCTCCCGGCCTGTCTTTGTGGGGAGGGGGGGCCTTCTTGCCGTGCAGCCCGGCCCCAAACCTGCATGGCTCACAGCAGAAGCGGGAAAAGGAGCGGGTGGTGCCGGTCGGGCTTTCCCAACATGTTCCTGATTCTGTGAGCGGCCTGGTCGCCGGCTTCGGTTAGCCTCCGCTCAAGGTCCTGGGCCACGTCCCCCGAACCATCTTCAGTCAGGACTCGGCCCATGAGCTCACTGAGCCCGGCGGACCCAGAGCCCTCCACTTGCCCGATTGGGCAACTGCTTGGGCGGGGTTCCTCATGCCCCCCAAGCACCTCTCGTTCTCTCGTTCCCGGACCTCCTTCTTCGACCCCTGTCAAGGCCTGCCTTCCCGGCCCGCGGGGCGCTGTTCGAACGCCGCCGGGGGCACTTCCTCCCCCTTGGCAGCTCTGACCTGGCTGCTCCTCACCAGGGTGTTCCCGTGCCTGCCAACCTTGACCAACGCCTCGCGTGGGCCGGGGGCTGTCCCGGTCTTCGCCTCAAGGGGGAGGCTCTTGACCCAGCCTTCGGCCCACGCTTCACAGAGTCCGGAAGGGTACTCGGCCGCCTCGCTGGTGAGCCAGACCTCCTTGTCTAACTTCAACGAGTGAACCTTGCCTTTGAGGGCGGCGTGCCTATGCCTCTGAACATCGCCGCACCTTAACGCCGTATCGGCGATTGAGGGGGCTTTGCAAAGGAGGCCGGTAGCCTTCCTGAAGGGGCCGCCGTAGGCACACTGGTCCAGCACCACTGTTGTTTAAGCAACCTCGTGAAGGCCTTCAGCTTCCAGATCAGTGATCCCTCGGGGTTCTCGATTGAGAACTCCTTTCCTAGCCCGAGTTGTAGTTCGGCTATCCCAACGCACCGTTCGGCCAGGAGGTCTGCTCTGCTTCCTTCTCCTCTACCGTGGTGCCAGCCGGTCTCTCTTCGGTCCGAGTCTTCTTCCGCGACGCCACCGAGTACGTCCGACACGGAGGGGCCATGTGCACCCAGTCCACGGGCGACTCCCTCAGCTCCTGCAGCAGCTGGGCGTACACGTCGTCGTCGCTAAGGTCCAGCGTCTTGTCGCCGACGACCTTGTCGGCTGGGTCCAACACCTCGACCCTTTTCCCTCCGGCCTCCCTGACCGCTTTCGATAAGCCCGCGTATCCCGCGAAAAGCTCGAGGAACCGGGCCACGAACCTCCCGACACTCTGCCTACGAGCAGACCTTGGCAGCACTGCCTCCGCCGCCGCGGCTGCCCCGCTCGCTGCCCCCTTTCCCTCCGTGGGCGTCGGAGGGGGGGCCTCGTCCGCTCAGTTGTCGGGGGCCCGCCCCTTCTTGGGGCAGCTGGTGTAGGGGTGGCTCCCCAGACAGATCTGGCACACATGGGATCGGCCCTGCGGGCAAACTCCTTTGCACTTGGCGTATCTCCCCTGCGCGTCCTTCCTGAGGCTCTTTCCCCCGTTGAAGTGCTCCGCCCTGCACCGATCTTCCGCTGTCACGACCAGGTCCACGTGTCGGAGTACCTCCCGGCCAGGTCCCTGAATGTCTCCGGTAGAGGTCCAGGGTGGACTGCGCGACAATCTGGACGTCCCCTCCCGTGATGGGGTCCCGGCTCCTCAGCATTAGCAGGGTGTTCTCAAACACATGCCACGAGGTTTTTTTGGGCGGCCCTATGCAAAGCAGACACAAGTCAGCGTACTCACTGTGAGTAGGAGAAGAAAGCGCTAGACCTGAGGAGCTTCTTGCACGTTGGCAGCCCCACTAACTGAGACCAAGCCGGACGGTTAACAGCCAGCCTGTGAAGCAAAAGGAAGGCAAAAGGAAAACTAGGGGATCGGGAGGTCATGGCATGTTGGGTATGTGAGAGCCAGTGCCATGCTAGTTCGGCACACTGCTCGGCCCAGTGAAGTCTACGACGTCCCGGCCGTATGCCTGCCTGTACTGTACCCCCTCTATATACAAACGCCTTCGTAAAAACACAGTTTCTCTCCAGGTTGCTCGGAGTTGCTCTCAAAACGTGACCAAACAACTTTAGTTGTGCCCTGTGGATGTGGTGTGTGAGGGGGGGCTGGTCGGCAAGGGCTCTGACGCCTTCGTTGCGGATGGTCTGTGCGTGGGGGTTGTCTGTGAGAACCTTGGTGTAGTAGGTGGCTTTGATCCTTTGGATCTTGCGGAGTGACTGTGAGTGGAAGGCCTCAATCCTGTGGAGGTCTGCTGTGGTGAGCGCGGCGGACTCCATGCCATAGGCGATCATGGGAATGAAGACCGCGTTGTAGATGCGCAACTTCCACGCTACACTCAAGCCTGTGTGTCTCCAGAAGGCGTGCAGTGTGCTGAAGTGCTTCCGGGCTTTCCCCAGTCTTGCGGTGATATCCGCCTTGCTGGACGAGTCCTGGCTGAGCACCACTCCGAGATACTTGGCCTGCGTGACTTCCTTCATTGGTTCACCTGTGAGGAAGTGTATGTGATTGACGGCCAGCTGTGAGCGCAGCAATTCGCACTTTTTAAGGTTCAACGAGAGGTTGCTGTAGCCAGCAACTTCTTGAATCTTGTGCAGAATCTGCTGGCCCCTTTCAGCAGTACCTGTGAAGACGGCCATGTCGTCTGCGTAAGCAAGGTCGTAGAAAGGTTGGTTCTGGCTGAAAAGCCACGGGAGCATCTGGCCGTGCTTCTGTAGCTCCTCGTCGACATCCGCCATGATCATGCTGTGAACCACCAGGAAAAGGTAGGGGGAAAGCGGGCAGCCTTGGCGAATGCCCGAGCTTGCAAGGGACTGCTGGCTCTGTTGTCCTGCAGCTTTGACTGTGAAGGAGGGGTTGTTGTAGATCGAGCCAATCAGATTGACAAACGACGGCGTCACCCCGTGGCGTTCGAGTGCCACCGTGACTGCTTGCGGGTGTACTTTGTCAAATGCCTGGCTCCAGTCAAGAAGCTGCACGTACAGGGTTGAGCCGCAGCGTTCGGCTCGCTCCAGAAGCCTCCGTGCCACATGAATCGCCTGTGAGGTCGATCTGGTGGCTCTGAACCCATACTGTGTGGGTCGCAGCTTGTGGTCTATCGCCTGCTCCAGGCGTTTCTGGAGAAGTCTGGCGAAGAGCTTGTAGGAGGTGCTGAGGAGGGCGATGGGGCGGTAATTGTTGGGGTCCGCCATTGTGCCGCGCTTGTGAATCTCGGCCACGACGGCTGTTGACCATTCTTCCGGTACTAGACCTGTGAGCAGTGCGTCGTTGAAGAGGTCAAGTAGCGGCTGCC